CCAACTCCATCCCCTGTAAAGAAACCATTTACACATACAATAGTCAACATACTGGACCCCACAGACCACAAAGCAATAAAGGTATACAGAAATTGCTCCAACTCCCAGTTTATGCACATGGAATCTTGACAAAAGTATTAGTATAGTGGTGGTGCCCACACAACACAACACAACACAATAATACTTGCAGAAACTTAGTGGTGGTCCCCGCAGAACAAAACAACACTACATAACCCTATTCTATGCATATATAAAGCCCAGGACAAAACCCTAGATATGCAGAAACTTGCATTCAACTCCACACACACAAAAAATAGGCAACCCAAACAACAAATACGCTCAGACACTTTCAATTTCTTCACATTTAAACTCCGAAAAAAAAATTTCTTACGTAGTTGTAGACCCATTCCAGTCGCAGATGATGAAGCTCGCCCTCTCCAAACCCAGAAGATGATGTCCACAATCGAAGCTCCAGACCACTTCACACAATCGCTGCTCCAGTAGTGGAAGATGAAGTTCTTTGGATTTTCCCCCCAAATTCGTTGCTTTCCCCCCAAATTGCAAGTGGTGTTGTTGACTAAAAGACCGGAAGGTGTTTTCCCCCCAAATACAATAACAAATGACGTTTTTACCCTCACCCAAAAACAATTCGAACAATTAAATAATTTTCCGGCCAATTTTGGCCGGCAATTTGGTCCGGAGGACCAAAACTGCCAAAAAATGAATAGATAAAGGTTTAAATTGAGAGTTTTGAAAGTCCTGTACTCAAATTGCCAGTACCCTAATACTCACAGGACCCAAAGTGTAATTTGTTCTATGTTCACATCTCTGCGTGTTTTGTTCTAATGAAATCAAGAATACCAAACATGTTTTTAAGGATTATGTATACGCTCAATGTTGGTCCCTTGTGGGCGTTGAGTAGTTGACACTAACCAACCAATCATCACAAATACTCATAACTGATATTTGGAGAGCTAGGAATGATAAACTTTGGAATAGTAAGAACACAACGCCCGACTGCACCATTAAAGAAGCGAAGCCCATGTTGTTCAATTGGAGGAAGCACATCAGAGCGATACTCTCAAGATAGACGACTATGTTGATAGTCTTCAAGTGATTCAAACAAAAATGAATTTGTTTATATTGCTCTCTGAGATGACCATTTATGCATAGTTCTTTGAAACTAACCGTCACAAGGTGATTGAAAATTAGTGGAAGCTAAGCAAATAGCAAGGGATTGGGTGAATGACATCAAATAAACTACACAAATAATTGATAAAAGTGAAAAGGAGAAATTGGAGTCGGGAAACAATCAATTTGATGCCCATTTCTAACGATTAAGGGGAGTCAACCCAACTTCGGGTTCTAAAATTGCCAACACCAATTCGGTGGAGTAACATGCCACTTTCGTGTTCTTACGTTAGGAAAAATTAAATGATGGGATTGTCCCACTTTTGTGACGCTGCCAATTCCAACAAATAAAGTTGTAGGAACCTTAACCTGTAAAATTTTCCACTTTCGTGGTGGAATCTAGGAGTAGTGAGATGGGTCTACTGAAATTTTTGATGGTTGTGAGACATGTCAATGATATACGTTGACCCCTTGTCCATCGGTTGTCAAATCCCAAACCAAAAGTGTGTTGGCAATGTTAGGTCTCACATATTCAACACGAGAATACAAAGCAATCCCACAATACAAAGAACCATAGATTGAGTTTCACCCCTAGTATGTAATAGATATCAAATAGGCATCAAGAATCTTATGCAACCCTCAATCCAAACCCAAATAAAACTATTCACACATATTATAAACTAAAAGCAAAAATATATCAAGGTAAATAAACTTAAAACTGTAAAAATGAGATAAGCAATAGAACTTATTGCTTGGATAAAAAGTGCATCATTGATCCTTAAAGGATCTAAAACGTAGAAATACAATAACCTGAGCTTCAAAGAGTGAAATCCAAGTATAGAAATGAAATCCTACAAGAAAACCTAAATTATAAGTTATTTCGGACCCGTTGTTGCATCTCTCTGTCTGCACTCTCTCTTTTCAAATTTGGAATTATCCTTCTATACAACACAGTATGGTTTGGTGCACAGGCGTGTCGATGCATGTGCGGCCGTGCAAAAAGCAGTGTTCTTGCGTGGATCTCGCACATGCATGCCAGTGCCTGCACGTTTGACACCATGACACGGTTTTGACTTTGCTTCAATTCACCCGCCCCTTTATTGTTGGGATGCTTCCAACTGTCTTTTTACTTCCTTTCCATGCACTTTTTACTCCAAATCAACTCATTTTGGCTCCAAGTGCTTCATTTTCCCATTGGTAGTGTGATTGAGTGAAATGATACACAAAACACATTATTTAGCTCAAAACCCTCATTACATACACCAAAATATGCACTAAATGGGGTGAAATAAGGGTAAAACATAGCTCAAATAAAGTTTCATCACGTGTGAAGTTGGTTACGAAATGGAATAAACCTCTTGAGGGTTGGCTAAAACTAAATGTTGGTGTTGCTCTCATCTATCCAAACAAGTAATATCATGAGGTTAGGTTGTGTTCTCAAGGATCATCATGGTTTGTTTGTTGCATGTAGATCATTACCGTGTAAAAGGTTTGTTTTGAGTTAAGGAAGCTGAAGCACTTGCGATTATAGAGGTCCTTAATGGGAGATAAGACCTTGGATACGATCGGATTGTGGTAGAAATAGACACCTTGCTTGTTTACCAAAACGTCATCTCCAAGCCACAAATTACTTCAACTTGCATCTTGTGAATGATATCAAATAAACAACTATGATGTTCAATCACCTATAGTTTTCGTGTGTTAAACAGTCTACGAACCATGATTTCCATGCCTTAGCTAAGGAGTTGGTATCTTTGTTTGACCATTGTGGAGTGGTTTGTTAACCTCCCTCTTTTATTTTTGATGTACTTAGTTTGGATATTTCTAATTAATGAATTTCGTATTTCTTTCAAAAACCAATTTGCCCAGCACTTTGCCCCTTAATTGGGCCTACCTAGTGTGAACATGGATTAATCTGAGTATGGTACGAGTTTAAAGGTGCATCCTACAGTTAGGGCTTGCTTAGGACACCTCGTGGTCTAACAAACAAAAAAAGTCGAGCATAAGAAATCGAGTTCTATGAAACATGTGGAAAACCTATCAAAACAAGGAAATTAGTTTTTGGTTCACCTTGACAAAGATGACAGTGAATTTAATATCATAGTCAATACCATTTATTCTTAAAGCAATTGATGACTCTTATTTTGTATCATATTTTACCCCACTCTTAACCTTTTTTTGTGCTTATTTCAAGGTGATTATTAGATGTTCGAACTAAAAGATGTATTTTATGTTTAGTTTCATTCAAATGCACAATTGAGAGAATAAAAGGCAAAAGGAAGCAAAAGTATACCAAACTAGAGCAAAAAGCACTGAAAAGGAAGCAAAATGAGCATACGAAAGATGGATGCCAATGAGGAGCTAATAAGATGCTAAAATACTCACAGGGAGCCAAATAGTGATGTCTTCAAGGGTCTTAATCACTTGGGCAATTCAAGGCAAGTTGAACAAAAGAGCAATAAGTTGTAATTTTCGCTTGTCTTGACTATTGTTCGGTAATTGGACCATATCTTAGCATAATAATGCCTGAATAAGTGATTATTGCGTCATTGGAAAGAAACTCGAAGTGATAGAACTTTTATGAAGACCACAAAGTCAAGTTCTAATGTTAAAGGGGTCAAAATTGGCCTGAAAGTTGAAGTTGCGTTGTAGAGTTCGCCGAATCGCGTTCGAATTGAGTTCGACGCGTCTAACCCCCCAGATTTGCAGTTGTGTGCATTGTTTTATGCACGGGCGATTGCACGTCTGTGCTGTTAATAATGTTATTATTCTTATTATTATTTCCTTATTGTAATAGGTTAATAATTGTGTGGTGTTAAATTGATTGACTTATACTAGTCTATTAGTTAGGAGATGTTTAGGTTTCCTAACTTCTTTAATTTAGTATTGTAACATCTATCTTTTGGCAACTGAATTGAAATCAACCTTCTCATATGGTATCAGTTATGCCTTAGGTTAGATCATCCTATTTTCCCTTCCACTCAAACAGAATGTCGACAAATTCATCAGAAATAATCGTTACCACCGCCGCTCCACCTCCGGCCACCACCCTTAACCCTCTCTCCTCGGCACATCACTATGTGCCAATCAAATTAACGTCCAGGAATTTCTTATTTTGACGTAAACAGTTGGTAACTTCTTTAGTATTGTAACATCTATCTGTTGACAACTGAATTGAAATCAACTTTCTCATATGTGCAAACCCACTGAACATCTATTCAAGCGCGCTTTCTCCATTTTATACTAAGTTTGGAGATGGAATAAAATCCTACCAGTAGCCAAGAGCGAAATAGATAATCAAAATAATATAAATACTTAGTTTCTAGCTAAGTTTTCATCATTTTTTTCCCTATCTTTCATGTATTAGCTTTAATATTGCTATTCATAGTTTATATTATTGTTATCTTGATGGCCATCGGGTTGAGAAGATAATCGGCCATTGAGTTTCTCGGTAATGCTATTACGACCACCAAATAAAAAATCATAGCAAAATTTTAAAGAGAAAAATTCGATTGAAGGAGAGTATACTTAAGAGATGAAAACTGAGACAATATTCAAGAGCATAGAAGATTAAGCAAAGAAGAAGAATTATCGAGATTATAAAAAACCAATGATACACATCACAACTAAATTACTCTATTACTCTTGAAAATTTCAAAACAATACACGTCAAAACTTAAAAAGACAAAATAAAAAGAAAATGAAATGAAATTTAAACCTTCCAAAGTTCCAAGATAATATTAAGTGAATGGGATTTGATCTCACGATCTCATTTGAAAAGATGATCTTACCTGATCAAATCTATATGTAAATATATAATTTTAAATCTCCCAAAAACCATATATTTTTGTCTACTTGGTTTATTTCGATACAAATAACAGAGCATTAAACCGGCGATACACGCTAACAGAGGGCTGATCACCGTCCAATTGGCAAGCTCAAATTGAGAAACTGTCCGGCTTTTCCTCTCAGAGACTCACACTCTCTCTCCAAGGCAGAAATGGGAAACAGGCGGTTCGCGCAGATTGATACGAGTGATGAAGACGACGAGTTGGTACTGTCACGGCTGTCCCGTTCATCTCACAATGCCGAAGAGAAACGGAAACGCAAGAGAATGAAGCTCGGTGAAGAAGACGAAGAAGAAGAAGAGAAGCAAAATCAGAACAAGAGGAAGGAGGCGGAGGATTCAGAGGAAGACGTAGAAAAGGACAAGAGGAGCAGCAGGGATAAGAAGGCGAAGAGCAAAGCCGTGGAGGAGTCGGAGCCGGAGGAGGAGGTTGAGGAGGAAGCGCAGGAAGACGCAAAGCCCATCGGCGATGTCATTAGGGTTAGCGGAAAGGGTCGAGGCCGAAGGAACCACTACAAATCATTCGAATATGATGGACTCAGCTATGACCTAGTGAGCATTTCTTTTTTTTAAATGCGTGATTAATTTGTTTAAGCTGAAAAATGCCTATGTATTTGCTTTGGGGTTATAAGCATTATCTTATTATTAATCATTATTAACTGCTGGTTAGGTATTTGATTGTCTTGTATGATTATATTGGAATCTTCTGTGTTACTTGGAGTTTTTTTAGGGTTGTGCTGTATGATCTTTGCTGGTGCATTCTAGGACTATTGCACTAGTTCAATTCAGTAAGCAAATATTGTGGAGAGGCTGAGGATTATATTTCACTCGGTAGTGCAACTATAGCACTAACTTCAAATTGCTATAATATAATGTGCTCTAGATACAATGAAAAAAATCATTTATAGAGTACTTTTCAAGGTCTGCAATTGAATTATTTTTCATTTTCATTTTCTATTTACCAGATTGTATGAGTTCCTATTTCCTTTTGTGCTGTTATGCCCTTATTTTATTATGCTCTACTGTGGTGTAGGAGGACCCAGTGCTGTTAGTTCCTGAGGTGCAAAATCAGAAACCTTATGTTGCTATTATCAAGGTAATGATTGTATTTATGAGATAGTAGAATACTAGAATTTTGGTTTTTATATTGCTTCTAAGTTTTCTTGATGGCATATGGAGAATGGAGTTTCTTACCCCTTTTAATTCTGCCTTTTCAATGAGTACCAATTTGTCTGGAGAATGGAGACCAATGTTCTACAAAACTGAGAATACTTTCTATGACAGTGATAAAACATAGAACATATTCCCCTTTCAAAACCAGAGCTTTCTGGTTGTTTTCTGAGCTCTCTTTTGATCTTATATTGATGAACACTTTTATGCTTGCAGGATATTTCTCAGACTAGCAAAGGAAACATGATGGTCACTGGGCAGTGGTTTTATCGACCTGAAGAAGCAGAGAAAAGGACAGGTGGAAACTGGCAATCACGTGATACAAGGGAGTTGTTCTATAGTTTTCACCGTGATGAGGTGCCTGCTGAGTCTGTTATGCACAAGTGTGTGGTACACTTCATTCCCTTAAACAAACAGATTCCAAATCGCAAACAACATCCTGGCTTTATTGTTCAAAAAGTCTATGACACTGAACAGAGGAAGCTTTTCAAGTTAACAGACAAGGACTATGAAGATAGCAAGCAACATGAGATTGATCTCCTTGTTCAGAAAACTATGTCACGAATTGGTGATCTTCCTGACATTGAGCCTGAGGACCTTTCCACTGTGCATGAAGATCAGTTGTTGAAGAGTAAACGCCTTCTGAGGAAAAAGAGCATGCATTTGTTAGATGTTTCTAGAGAGGAAGAAGCACCTACTAGATCTGGTCAATCTCTTAAAGCAGAAACACCTGGAAGTTGTGCCAGTAATGCATCAGAGTACTTCACAATTCTTAAAAACTTTGATGTCCTCACCGGTGCTGATCATCGCAACAAGTGCTTGGAAAAGCTGCTTCAAGCAATTGAGTTCATGTGCAATCCTTGGGATGGTGGGCAGGGTGATGCTAAAGAAAAATGTATTTCTGATGGTAGTGATCCTGATAAAACAAATTCCTCAAAACATGTGAATGGGTCTCAAGAAAACTGTTCAAATGTAAGCATTGAGATCTTTTGATTGTTGAGATAATTTTCAGAGTACTGGTATAGTATAAGCATTTCCTTTTGAGATATTAAATCTGTCTCTCTTTCTATAGGGTGAAGCCAATTTTCATTGGCCAGACAGTGCAGTTCCTGCTGTAGTTTCTCTTGAGAGAGCTGTACATGATGCACTTTCCTCAGATTTTCAAAAGTACAACCAAAAGATGCGGCAGTTACTCTTTAATCTTAAGGTTGAGAAGTTAGTTTGCGTATCTGTTTCTTCTGAATTATAGTTAACATGTATCTATCTTATGGATTACACTTGTGGGTGGATTTACATATTTAATTGCAAATATGCTGCTTCGTGAGAATGATAAGACCTTTTAGTATGAGATAGAGTGGCTTGACTTACCTAGATGTTCATCCTGAGTGTTTTCTTTGCAAGACTTATTTTTATTTATAATCATTGAAATTTGTGTTCTAGTTGTCATTTTACTTTAATGTCTCTTTCCTTTTTTTTTTTTTTTTTTTTTTTTTTTTTTTTGTGAGCAGAACAATGCGCTCTTAGCCCGACGTCTCTTAAATGGGGAGTTGGAAGCATCACAAATATCAAACATGACGCCAACTGAATTGAAGGCATGGTTCCTGTTGACATTTATTTATTTTGAATTGCTGTTCTCCATTTACAGTACATTTATTCTTAGTTTTCCCTTAACTGTTTTTGATATATTGGAGCATAAGCCATTATAACATTATGCTGACATTGAACTGCACAAATAGCAAATCCAGTTAACGTTAAATGGGATTCAACGAGTGCATTACTTAAATGAGATTTCTTGAAGAATTTGGGATTTGATATTAGGAGATTGTTATACTGTTTCTTATTATAGCATGCAAATCTTAATTGAATTCCAGGAAGGTTTGACTTCAGATGAGCTTGCAAGTAGGCAGCCCGAGGAGCAAGAACCCGTGCAGGTTTCTTTTATTTTTGTTCAATTGTATATATTTTAAAATAGTTTTCTATTTTCTTTTTGAATGTTGAGCTTTGTCATAGGTATAGAATAGTGGTCAATCACTCAATTGCGCACCCATATGCAATTTAGATTGGGTTCAAATATTGAAATGGCTTCTAAGCTTCACATATTCTTTCCTCCAACCCATCATTATGTGAGAATCTTGTGCATTAGGCTCTGCCTTTTTGTTTGCCCCCTACTGTTTTTGGTTTGTCATAAATCATCAAGTTGCTTTTACTTGTTCTTCTACTGCTTATATTTTTCATTAAGTAGTTGTGTCAAAGGTAGATAGTTGTCGTGTAAGATGAGCAAGGAATAATTTGAAGTTGGAAAACTGCAGTATTTGCCTATTTGGTGGATATGTGAAGGTTCCTTGTGATGTAGATCAGCTTAATTTCATTTTTCTTGTGCATATAATGGATCTATCTGATGAAGTGATATTGTACTAATATTGTACAAAGATCTCAGTATCATTTTCTAGCTACCCGATTGCATGGATTATAATTCATATACTTTCTGCTGCCAAAGTTAAGAGAATCTTAACTAGATTGTCCCAGCACATGCTTGCAGATCATTTTGATCCTATGTGTGAATTTATAATTTATAATATTAGTAGAAACAAACAGGGTTGCCAGGACAATTATGAAAAATAGTCTTTAATTTGCTTATCTTCTGGTGCAGATGACTGATGCTCGTTGCAGACGATGTAGTGAGAGACAAGTGCGGCTGATAGATATCATTCAGGCTGGACATGGTCATCGCTATCAGGTATTTCTTTTGGTAATAACTATGTCATACTATATTCTTTGGCTGGATCAGGATTACCTGGAATATTGTTGTTTGTTTTATTAGGATCTATGGTATTCAAATTCATCTTGTTGCAAATGAAATTCTGGTCAAGTAAAGTATTTAGGGATTTTAGGGTTGTTGAGATTGTAAGATATTTAGAGTCTAGTTTTCTTTATAGCTTTATTGGCAAACTGTTCTCCCTTTAATAGGAGTAATCATTTTAGCTTGATTAACATGTTCCTCAGAGGGAAATGGGGGACTGGAAACCATGAGTCGAACAAAGACTTCGGATGTCCCTTCACTTCTAAATGCAAGGGATTCCTTTTTTTTTTTTTTTTTTTTTTTTTTTTAAACCATTGCCATTACCAGATGCGTACTCTTTCAATATTTCAGTTTATGGCGTTTTACATAGCTAGCTTTATGGTTTATTTAACATTTCCTGTGAGGTAACTTTCCATTTGCTGACTTGGTTCATTGTAAGGGATTGAAGATTTTGAAGTGTATGTCTGGATCCTTTGGCAGCCCAATTTTGCACTTGCTTCATTATGAGTATAACATTAAGCTTGATATGCCTAGAATATCCTTCCACTCATCTTTGTCATTGTTTCAGCTTGAGTGTGGAGCATGTGGTAATACGTGGTATGCTTCAAGAGATGAAGCTGCTACGCTTACAATAGGACCATCAACCACAAAGAGTGTTGGCACAGAACCACTGGCCACTGCCAAGTTTGAAGACATTGAGAAGCAGCTGCTGAGCCCCCGGTCGAATGACAGAGGAGCCAGTGATGTTCTTAAGAAATCAACCGAGGTCTACATGCCAACCCTGGATAAACATAGATCATTCAACAAGACTAAACCCGAAGAGGGCGCCGCTGCTAACGGTGCTGAGTGATCCTTGAACTTTAGACTTGAGAGATCACTCAGGCTTGAGATTTGGTAGACCAGTTCACTCGTGTACATTAGTTAATCTGATGTAAATATATTAAATTTACGCAGAGAATGATAGGATGCTTAATATTGCTACATTTTGGCAACCACGTGAAGCATGAAGTCTGACATCCTATTTGAAATTTTAATAGATTTTACTTGGACAACTAATTTGATTAGCTAGGGTAATGTTATGTTATTGAAATTTTAATGGACCATTCTTGGAATTAACTCTATACAACAAGAGTTAATACTAATTAGTAATTGGAAAGTCAAATAGATTGCGAGGGATCCAAATGGTTAAACTGGACACCATAGATTGCGAGGGATCCATTAACTTTAACATAGAAGAGAAGAAATTATATATGCATTTAGGGCTTATGGTCTTAATTAATGGGCAAGCAGAGGTTTCCTTGTATTGTCTGTCCCAATCTCAACTTTCATCACTCTTGGCTAAATTTTTAAAGGTTGATGCAGGTGAAATGAGTAAATATGTTACGTTGATACTCAGTTTAATTGGTTGGGGGGGAAGGACTTGGTTTTTAATACAGTAACAGGGCGTTTGGTTGGAGGGGGGAATTATGTGGGAAAGGAATTGTAATTTCATGGGAGTTGAATTACTGGGAATAAAGTGGGAATTTAAATTCCAGTGTTTGGTTGACAGGAATAGAATTACTGGGAATTTCAATTCCAATGTTTGGTATACATGGAAATTGAAAGGGAATAAGTAGTATAAAGTCAAAAATGTCCATTATTGTTGTTAGACATTTATTTTAGGTTAAAAAAGGAAGGGGTGATTTTGACTCATCACTATCTTTTTTTCCCAGGAATTAAAATACCAGGGGGACATGGGATTTTAATTCCATGAAAATGGAGGAATTGCAATTCCATGGAATTGCAATTCCCTTCAACTAAACTATGGAATTTAATGGTCTTTGAAATTAGATGGGAATTAAGTGGGAAGGGAATTTAAAATCTCTCCAACCAAACTCTCTGTAAGTACTTGCTTCAATCATCTAGGGGACTTGATAGTGATACATTCATTGTACAAGTTTTTAATAATATTTTATGAAAAAACTTTTTGCACTCACTCTTTCATTTACTCACTTTTTATTATAACCAAGAGCAGGCAGCATTAACTGCAAAGAAAGAAAGAAAGAAAATTATTATATTATATTTGCAATTTCCCATAAACATAGCAGAAAGAAAAATATATGCAGTGGCTGTGAGTGGATGATTCCCTCCCAGTCCCAGAATTAATAATTAAATAAATGAGTGGAGGGATTCCCTCATTAATAATTATACCCATTTTTACCCCTCTATTTTTGAATGAATGATGGATGTGAGGGCCGAGGGGAGGGGGGGGTTTCACGTGATTTTCCTTCTTCTTCTTCTTCTTCTTGTTGAAGAGAAGATGCGTAAAATCAGCCTCCTAAAACGTTGCGTTCAACAAACAGCACAGTAATATAGCAGCAGCTGGAGGCTAGAGGGAGCATATGCTGGGTGAATGCTGATGAGTGGAGTTGAAGTTGAAGGACTTTTTAATGGACGGACATTAAATGAAGATTGGAAGCTATTTGTCTCTCAATCCCCCCTCCCTCCCTCCCTTGCCTGAATCTTGAAATGTATCAGTGCTAATAACTGCAATGTATGTATTAGGTTTGTTTTTGTCAGTGTGAATTAATTATATGATATGATGTGTTGATATTTTTGCTTGCTAGGTTGCACATCTTCTGCTGTGAATACTGACTGAATAGGCATGGAGTTAGAGTTTGACAAGTACTGTGTAGTGGATGGAAGCCCTACAACTGTTCTTCCAGCTCCACGGCATTGCCCAAAACTTGAAGACAGAAGATCCAAGAGAAAACAGAAATATGGAAACCAGAAACTCTGCCTAAATCAAGATTTCACTCAGAATAATTTCCATCACTACCGTAGTGTATCCTGTAAAGATTCTCTGTCTCGTTCAGAATTAGGTAATGAAGTTCTAAGGAGAGGTTCTGCGTATTGTAGTTCCAAAGAGCTTAGGCGCTTCCAGAAAACGGATAATGCTGGTGAGGAGAGGAGAAAAATTGAATTCTCGAGTGGGTGTATAACAGCTTCTTCATTTGGCATTGTTGATGCTTTGTGTAGTTCAGAGGAGGACAGTTCACAAGTAGAAGAAAACACATCCTCAGATAAAGGTGCATCACTGGGTAACAGAAAAAACAGATACGAAGGTAATAAGCCAAGGGAGACAGATCATTCTTCTGCTGTTTTTCCCAAGTCATTATCTGCCAAGTTTAGAAGAGTGCCTCATTCGCCTGCTCAATCAGAAAGTGATTGCTCAAGAGCTAGTAGTTCAAAGTCCAGGTTCACTCCAATGAGAAAGATGTTTGATCCGTTCAGGAAATCCAAGTCTCAAAGAAGTCCCCTGAGTAATAAATGTATTGAATCAGGCTTGGGGGACTTGGAATGTAAGCTAGCAAGTCTTAATGGTAATAAAGGATCTAGGAAACATTTGCCACCCAATTTTTCAAACACAACACAGCAATTCAATTGTGGTTCTCTGCCTTCCCGGAAAGGAAGCCACAATTCACTTGCATCATTTTTACCAACTCATTTGCATGGCTTCCTCCAGTTGGACAGAAAACACGGGGTGCCTTTTTTTGAGTTCTCAGTAAACTTCCCTGAAGATGTATTTCTAGCCAAAACATGGAAAGTTGGAAATACTTCAAATTGGGTATATACATTCTATTCAGTCCGTAACAGAAGGAAGAGCCATGGCAGTGGACGTGGATCAAATGATGGCACTAAAGAATCATCTCTTTTAGTTGGGCAGATGCAAGTCTCCAGCTATTATTTATGTAGCAAAGTAAAAAATGCCACAGGAGTCTCTAATAATTATTCTATGGTGATGGAGTTTGTTTTGTATGATAGTGCCAAAGCCAATCCAAGAAAAAGTGTGTCCTCTTGGGGCAGTTCAAGCCCATCATCTGTTGTTCCCAAAGGAGGATCAACTGAAAATCTTCTAGGGGGTAATAATGAATCAAAGAACGGTGATGGCAAGGGTCATACTGGTACCCATCCTGTGTCTGCAGCTGAATTGCATGAGCAGCAGCAGCTTGAAATTGCAGCCATTGTGATAGAAGTGCCAGTAGTTCAAAAGAGAGAGAGTTTGGAATTCAAAAGTGAGTTTAAGAATGACCAGTCGACTCTGTTGGGCTTCCCTTTCTTTGAAGGGGCTGATGGTAATGTGAACCCTTCAAGGGTGGCTGCAGTGACCCCTTCTGGTAACCATAGTTTGCCAACAACTGAAAGCCGTGGCCCTTCTCCATTGCTAGATAGATGGCGTTCTGGTGGAGGCTGTGATTGTGGTGGGTGGGACATGGCATGTCCCCTAAATGTATTTTACAATCTAAATATACAGAGTGCTGCTGACTGCCCACTCATAGACAATGAAAGACCGCTACAACTCTTTATTCAGGTACTCAATAAATATTCTAGTCTATATATAAATAATAATTATATCCTAGACCATATGTTTTAGAATTTTATTTGGTAGCACAACAATTGTGTTTACTTCAGTTCACAATTTTTCTGAGTCTGCAATAATTTTAAAGAACGAAGCTGAGTCCTTCCTGCCAAAGACAACAATTGAATATATCTATACCACAACCTGTAAAATCTGTTTTTGTTTTTGTAATCGGTCCAACTGTTAGCTGTGCTTGTGCTCTTCCTTCCACTCTTTTCACTCATAACTTTACATGATCCAAAATATGCCTCCCTGCAGGGAAAGAAAGACAAGATGCCAGCATTGAGCGTTAGAAGGATGGAAGGTGGGCAATATGGTGTTGATTTCGACGCTCAGTTATCTGCATTACAAGCATTCTCCATTAGTGTTGCTATTTTGCACGCGATGGAAGCAGCTGCCTTGAGTTGTATGGAAAAGGAGGAAGAAGGAAGATCAGAAATGCAAGAAGAATCAGGTGAATTGTTGGGTGAGGATGAAGTTAGAAATTCAACCAAAACAGTGAGAGAGGAAGGAAACAAGAAAGTGCAGCAGCCTAGTTTTGTTCTAAACCCTCCATTTTCTCCAATTGCTCGAGTGTAGGTGCAGGAGGATATGGGTGGAAGAGAAAACCATCTGCTTCTGCTTCTTTAAGACCACAACACAGTCTTCTGTTCATATTGTTAGTTTGGTAGATTGGAAAACGGTTCATTCATTATTAATATTATTATGAAATTAAAAGTAGCTACATACTACACCATTCAGTCATTGCATTGCTCCTTTTTGTGATTTATGTTTGCCATAAGTATGTGTATATATATAATATATATGTAGCATGTTGAACACTGTATACTTGGTTGGTAAAATGGTGAAAATAAACCACTGCTCACGGCCATGAACACTGTATACTTGGTTGGTAAAAAAATAAATAAATTGTACACTTTCTTCTTTGTAGTTACCAGTTTCCTCTATCTTATACGACGCCGTTTGTCCATTTCCATAAACGGTTAAACTAAACCCCTATCCTCAGCTCAGCTCTGCAACTCTAAAAACCTTGACTTGAGCTCCCTCAGTGCTCAGACAAAATCAAAATGGCTCTCAGCTTTCTCTCTCTATCACTCTTCCCTTCAGTTTCACCACCGAAATCTCTTTCTCTCAGGTCCCCACAGTTCAGGCCCTTCCCTTTCCTCCGCCTCAACCTCCCACTCACCACCGCCGTCTCCGCCATCGGCCCCGACGGCAAGTACTACCCTACCCCATCAGACGATGACCCTCCGGAAGCTCCAGAGGACTCAATGCACGGGGTCAACAAGTTCCAGCAGATACAGCGCCAAGCTGCACGAGCAAGGAAGCGGGAGGAGGAGCAGGCCAAGAAAGACCAGTCCATTTTCCTCAACGCCATCGCCGACGTTGAGGACGCGCCAGACGATGACTCTCTCGCCGCCGATCACCAGAGCTCCGGAGATGATTTCTTTGGGGAAATTGACAAAGCCATTGCTTTGAAACGAAAGGAGTTTGTGAAACAAGGCCTCTTGAAGCCCAACCCCAAGAAGGTGCTCCCCCGGACCCGGAGGGAACCCGAATTAGAAGACGTCGAGGAGCTGGAGCCCGACGAAGTGGCTGATTTGGAGGAAATCAGTGAGCTTCAGGGGCTTACTGAGATATCGGTAGGAGATGAAGAGAGCGAAGAAGAAGAAGAAGAAGAAGAAGAGAGCACTGAGGAAAGTGATGATATTATGGTAAAAGATGATGATTTATCTTCATTTGACATTGATTTCGATGAGCTTGGTAAAACTCGGCCCAGAATTTTGGAACCTAGTTTTAGGATGACTTTAGCTGAGCTTTTAGATGAAAGTAGAGTAGTGCCCATTTCAGTGTATGGGGACTTGGAAGTGGAAATCAGGGGGATTCAGCATGACTCGAGGTTGGTTGAGAGCGGGGATTTGTTTGTGTGTTGTGTAGGGAGGAAAACTGATGGGCATTTATATTTATCTGAGGCTGATAAGAGAGGGGCTGTTGCCGTAGTGGCTAGTAAAGAGATTGATATTGAGGAAACATTGGGGTGTAAAGCTTTGGTCATTGTGGAGGACACGAATGTGGTGCTTGCAGTGTTGGCTGCTTCATTTTATAGGCATCCATCTAAGAGTATGTCTGTGATTGGCATCACAGGAACTAATGGAAAGACTACCACCTCATACTTGATAAAGTCAATGTATGAAGCAATGGGGCTGAGGACTGGGATGCTTAGCACTGTGGCTTACTATATTCATGGAGATAATACGTTGGAGTCCCCTAATACAACCCCTGATGCTGTTTTGGTTCAGAAGTTAATGGCTAAGATGTCGCATAATGGGACTGAGGCTTTAGTTATGGAAGCTTCTTCTCATGGATTGGCATTAGGTAGGTGTGATGAGGTTGACTTTGATATTGCCGTTTTCACAAACCTTACTAGAGACCATCTGGATTTCCATGGGACTGAGGAGGAGTATAGGAATGCAAAGGCCAAATTGTTTGCAAGGATGGTTGACCCAGAACGACACCGCAAAATTGTGAATATTGATGACCCAAATGCAGCATTCTTCATCTCACAAGGCAACCCGAGTGTGCCTGTTGTGACCTTTGCAATGGAGAATAAGAAGGCTGATGTTCATCCCTTAAATTTTGAATTGTCTCTCTTTGAGACAACAGTCTTGGTGAATACTCCTCGTGGTATATTGGAGATTTCATCAGGACTGCTTGGGCGCCATAACATCTATAACATACTTGCAGCTGTAGCTGTTGGTATTGCAGTTGGGGCACCTTTGGAGGACATTGTTAAAGGTATTGAAGAGGTTGATGCAGTGCCTGGTAGGTGTGAACTGATAGATGAGGAACAAGCTTTTGGAGTGATTGTGGACTATGCTCATACACCCGATGCATTATCTAAACTTCTTGATTATGTTAGAGAGCTCCATCCACGGAGGATTATCACTGGTATGTGTTGTGTACACCTAACTGCCTTCCTTTTTCTTTTTCTTCTTTTTGTTGCTTAATTGTTATGTATTGAGTCCATGACTTTCTAAAAGTGCCTGTCGTACTAATAGGTACTTGAACTTGTGTTCAGATTAGTCATCAGTAAGTTCCACCCTCTTAGGTTAAAGAGATTGAATATGACCCTGACAACTATTCCTTAACTTCACCTGGGAACTAATTATTTTTCTTTGTTATTCTACTTGGTAAATTTTATGTGATAATTATTTTGTCTTCATTATCCATATGAATTACTGTCAAATTCTTTTGCTGACAAAGAAGAAACTTGGTTTATTGGTTGAAGTGTTTGGATGTGCTGGTGAGAGTGATAGGGGGAAGAGGCCCATAATGACAAAAATTGCTACGGAGAAGAGTGATGTAACTATTCTTACATCTGACAATCCGAAGAATGAAGATCCACGTAAGTATTATTGAATGAAGATAACATGCTTGATACCATATCAGAACTAGTGTAGTACTTGAGCCATTTTATTTGGGCGACTAACCTTGACCTTTTCTGCTGGTTTTTCTCATCATTAAAACTATGCACCATTTAAATTAAACATTGGACTTGCTCTATATTTGCTAATTCTGCTCACTTTTTTTTTTCCTTCTAATTTGATGTTGCCGATAAACATCCTATTGCATACTTACTTTATCTGAATCTGAATTTCCAAATGCACTGTACTTATACTGGCTCATTTCACATATTCGCCAGTTGACATCTTGGATGACATGTTAGCTGGTGTAGGATGGACTATGCAGGATTACTTAAAACATGGAGAGAATGATTATTACCCACCTCTCTCTAATGGCCATAGACTCTTCCTTCATGACATTAGACGGGTAGCTGTACGCTGTGCAGTTGCAATGGGCGAGGAAGGTGATATGGTTGTAAGTTTCTTTGTGCCCTTGTTGGTTTCTCTTTTTATTAGTACAGTAATAGATGATACTGACTGTTGATATAGATACGAAGTCGTCATACTTGAGAGTAGGAAATTTCTAATCCCTGCTTAGTTAATTTCTCTCTGTTGCCTTAAAGTTGTGGTTGTCGTCTCTTGTTCATTGCTGCAGGTAGTTGCTGGTAAAGGCCATGAAACATACCAAATAGAGGGTGAGAAGGAGGAATTTTTTGATGATCGGGAAGAATGTAGGGAAGCCTTACAGTATGTTGATGAGCTTCACCAAGCTGGGATTGACACAAGTGAATTCCCATGGCGGTATATCTTTTTATCATCTATCTGTTGTACATCTAATAATCTTTATATAATAAACTTTTGGAGCATAATATTTCGTCTTTATGGTATATTTTTAAACTGACAATTCCTGTCCATACTAGGAGGTAGTCTGTTATTTATCATTTCCTTATTTCTTTCTTAAACTAATTTTACATACATACGTACATATATGCTTGCATATTTAAAAAGAACAACTAGATAGATGTATAGACATCAAATTTCTTGGTAAAAGGAAAATGCTACTTACTGTTAATTATAACTAATCAATCATTGGCTTTGTTGTCATACAGGCTGCCTGAGAGCCATTAATATGAGGAGGCAGGGGAAAGTTGTGGGCTAATATTTTGACAATAGCGGGAGAGTGAAAGCAAGCTCTACTATGAGAGGAGATGGTGCGGCAGATGTAATTCAATTGTAGCTGCTTGCTCTTTTCTCTTATCGGCCGGGCGGGATCTGTAAATTATGGAAAGAAGGGGATTTACTTGAGTAAGTGGTTGTATTCATTTTACATGGTTTGAACTTATTTCCACAGTACGGAGTACGTTTTAAAAAGAGGCTTGTCATGCTGCAAATGTTGTTATTTAGGTTTATGCATCATAATTCTAGACATATATATATATATATATATATATATATATATATATATATATATAGAATCTAGTTCAAATGAGAACCACTCTCCAAGTGAGAATCTGTGGACAAATTCAAAAACCATCTTTCTGCAAGATCTGATGGTTAAGAAATCAAGTAAAAAAGTAGGGTCATTCATAAATATTACAAACTTTTGAAATTTATAGTATTTATATGAAAACAATCTCTAAAACTCATCCTTTATTTATTTATTTTCATTTTATGTTCTATTCTTGCTTGCAGTTGCAGATTTAAGGATGTCGTATTCCTAGAGCAGTTTCCCAAATTGAAGAAATGGAAGTTCTTTTGAAGGCAAAAGTCTCTGCCGTTATGATACTCATCCTAATGTGAAAAAAAAATGGTAGCAATAATTTTATTTATATTTTTTTTTATAAATATAGAACACAAAGTGGCATTTGGTAAAATCACAAGTACGGAGGCTAAATACGCACGCATGCACGCACGCACTTACTTACTAAGCATGCAATTCTATCTATGCGTAAAATATATGTTCTAAAGCAGCTAATAATAAACTGTGGGTGACCAACTTACAAGTGCAAGCAAGCCTGTTACTGTACGCACCAAAAATTTGCATATTCCTACAAACTTACACTATAATAAGTATCCAACCTGTACAACTAGCAGTGAGCAGTAAGTATTATAGGGCTTCTCCCATCATTCCAATCCACATACACACCCCACCTAAAAAGAATATATATATGACTGAACCTAGCTAGCTAAATGCTTAGCTTACACATCCTATTCCTGACCCTGAGCCTGAGGTAATTAATTCTCTTCTCAACAATAATGGAACCCTCCTAAAATTTACACTAACTAGGCAGCCTCCCAACATATGTAAATGTAATACTGCTGAACTAGACCTTCCTTCATTCCATTAAAGCAGGCAGGCGTGTCAAAGAATTGTACCACAGGTGGGGGTGGTTTCTTTCAACTATCAATATCAAAGTCGTAACTAAAAATTGAGGCATTTTGTTTGTAGGCAACCCCAGCCCCAGTTTAGGAACTGAAACTTGAAAATTTTGAGATGGTGGCTGCTGCTCGGTATTGACCCTTGTTGGATTTTTTCATTCCCCTCCCTCCTAAGGAAGTTATTATTTCTAGGGCCACCCTATTACTTCTACTCCTTTCCTGTTAGCAGCGACTGTACAACGTCACAAGTCATCCGTTGAAGAAGATTGCATGCATATCAAGTTATACCCCGTTGTTGTGACCAAGAACTGGAGAGCATGAATTTGGGTCTAACAATGGGCTCAATTTCACATGACCTCTCAGCAGCTGTTGAGCCACCCTATCAGCTAATAGTGATTGTCCATCATATGAGCCCCCTTGGGCAGATGCTGCAACTGTTTCTCCAAACAAATGAGTTTGAGGAATCCCTCTAAATATGTCAGGTTTAAGATCTTGACATGCATTTCCATTGGGGTAAAACCCGCTTTGGGACCTTGGATTTGTTGGTGACTTGGGAGTAAACATTGGAATGACACCACTGCCACTCGTCAGAGGGGTGGATGTGCCAGATGTGGCCCGGGGGCTTGAAATGGGAGAAGGAGACAGTATTGGACTCATATGTTGAGGTGATCTTGAATGCAAAAGCGGGCTCCCAACTGGAGAAACTGGGCATGATATATTCCTTTGCATAAGAGGGTCACTGAAAAACAAATTTGAGTAAGATTGAGAGTGCATTCCAGGCCATACTTCAAGAATGAAAACTCCAAAGTATTATTTTATTATCCTTGTAGACTGCAAACATAGAGAGAGAGAGAGAGAGAGAGAGAGAGAGAGACCTTATTCCAGCAACAGATTTTAGATTTCTAGATTGAAGACCAGCTGCTCCTTCTGTCTCCAAGCATGGAGGACTTCTGGAATGCCCAATACCCTAGAAAAGGAATGTGCTTCACCAAATTAACCAAAAAGATAATCTCAAATCCCCCAGACAATTAGGAGTAAGTATCATATTTCAACTGTGAGAAGAAGGAATATATCAAGGAGCAATAAATTTAGGATATTGCCACAATAACATGAAATCAGTATGCCAGTAAGCAAATTGGAAAAATGAAAGTTCACTAAAGACAACAATTCATAGTTTACACTTGCTTGAGTGGAAAAGCACTTGTTCAAACAAGAAAAGGGTATAGTACCAACAAATTCCATATTCTATAAAGAGATATTTAAATGTTCCTTAAGAGTAAATAGTCAATTGTCAATTACATGAAACTTTCATTAGTTATTTATCCAGGCTTAAAAGAAATTTACTTGCCATCTTTATTTTTAATCATTATGTACATGCTCATATGTGTAACGCAAATTCCAAATACAGGTAAATAGAACAGAGTAAAGGATATGTGACATAATAGTTGCACAAGAAAGTTAACATTGACAGAGAATGAAAAGCACGAAAGTAATTGATCTCACAGGCTGCGAAACTGGAGAAACTGATTCCCCAGCTCCAGGACTTAGAATGGGTCTTTCTATTGGAGCAACATTTCTGACAAAAGGGTGGTCCAAGAGCTGAGCAGCTGTGGGACGGTGATGTGGATTTCGTTGCAAACATTGCCTCACAAAATGCTTGCCCTCATCTGAGAGATGGTCAGGGATTGCAGGAAGTTCTTTGCTGTTTCCAATCTTAAACATAGCAGCAACCTATTGAAAAATAATATGAAAGGGAGGAATAAAACCTAAGCAACAAAAAATCATATAGCAGGCAAATCCACATGCACTCTACAGTAAATCAAGTACAATACAATCTTTTGTTCTTATAAAAATAAAATAAAAAAGAAAAGTAACATAATCTTTGGTCCTAACCCCTTCATATTCACTCCAGGGTGGTTTTGTGGTAGCCATTTCCAACACTGTGCATCCAAGGCTCCATATGTCAACCGCACGATTGCAACCATTAGCATTTTTTATAACCTGCAAAGTAACCACATAAAACAAATTGTGGCAGCATAGCTTAGTATCATTAAGGTCAGAGCACAATTTAGAATAATGCTAACCTCTGGTGCCATCCAATAAGGACTTCCCTTGAATGACAATGGGCATGACTGCCCAGTTATCTGCAAAATTTAACAAATGAAGCAGGTCATAAAAATACAAATTCAAGAATTATAGCATACTTAAGGAAGTACTACACACTGATTACCATTTTATTAACCATATCTTCTTCTTTTTTTGTATGCAAATAGAAACTTCATAGGCCTGAGTTTTACTACTTCCTTTGTGTTCTCTTTCATTTTATTTTCATTGTTAAATTTTCCAAGGCATGTATATGGATGGCTACATCCAAACACAGGATTGTTGCCATAGCACAAACTATGGGTAAATGAATGCTCTGCAAATTATAACTAACAGCATTATGCAGAAGAGTGAGGTTAAGAGGTTATTAGATATAACCTACCATGATCTAATAGATTTGGCATTTTATATACCTAAAATTCTTGATAATGCGATCATAAGGCACCTCAACCCATATCCTCTGGTGTTCATCCCTTCAATCTCAATCATGTATAACATTGTGTTTGAATTCTAGTGGTATAGTTGCTAAGAAAAGTCTTACATGTTTTGCCATCCCAAAATCTGCCAGTTTTACGCGGCCATTAGGGTCAACCAATATGTTTGCCCCTTTAATATCTCTAAACAAAATAAAATTACACATTAGCTAAGCTCAATAAATAGAAATAAGAAGTGAATACAAAAGTATTCACAGAATTCATGGCACAATCCTTCAGAAATAAACCTACCTATGCACTGTACTTTTACCATGCAAATAAGCAAGCCCGGATAGAATCTGCTGAGTGTAACTCCGAATAGCTACTTCACCCAAATGGCCATATTCTTGAAGAATTTTATAGATAGAACCACCAGATACATACTCAAGGTATATATAGAGTTTGTCATCAACCTGTAAAAGAAAGTGAATCACAAAGAGAAGTTGACAATAATCTAATAATGCCCCTTGTTATCTTGATATTAATTATTTGTATGTGCCATGCATTCAAGTTTCACGAACGCATCTGATTCAATTCCCCTTAATTTCAGGTCAGATTAATTTCAGGACAGGTTTTGACTTCAATACATCAACTTGAATTTTGTGTTGCCTGAACATGTCCATTTGACCCCTAGTAGTTGACAGCAGGAGGTGAGTGGTAGCAGTTGGTGTCAGTGTGAAAGATGGAGATGGTGGATGACAGTAGCAATGGTCATAGTAAGTGGAGGGTGACACTGTTTTCCCATTCAAAAAAGAGTTATTTCAGTTTCTGGAAACTAGAGAATTTTTCATTGCTGAACAGGCCATCAATTTTTACGGATGCCATAACTTCTGTATGGAATTCTAAAAGATCAACCATGAAAATAAGACCTGAAAATGGAGTACAAGAATCTTACCATTTCAGATCCATAATACCGCACAATATTTGGATGCCGTAAGCGACTTAGTACAGCAATTTCCTGCCAAGAGTAATGGAGTTATTTCTTGTAAAGGTAAATTGTGAACTCAAATATCAGAGTATCACTACTTTCCCCTTTTTCATTTTGACACTCATTATCATTGTTCTACTTAAGAAAAGTATATACACAATGGGTTTCTCTTATGAAATTGTTTATAAAACATAATTTTCCTCCAAAAATTAATCTGCAATTGTAGGTTGTTCGTTATAACTCACTTGTCCAAGCTGCTGAGCACTTTCTCTTGACTTAGCATCATCTGAAAATAATGTTACCTCTTTCATCGCACACATCTCACCACTTTCACTGTAACAAGCGTCAATTTAAAAATTCAGATAAACAACAATTATACAAAACGAAAGACATTACATCAACAGAATTTCATCTGTCCTCTTTCCAAGGATGGAGGAAAATATGCAGATCAGACATTTTCTAGATTAAGGAAAATAAGGTATCATTGCTGCTTTCAAGTAAACACTCCATGCATCTTAATTGAAAAAATAGTAAGCTTATTTGAAAAACTAAACTTTCAAAGTAAAAAAATGGAAACATTAACTCAATAAATTATAATGAGCAATCATGAATTCTGTCACTTTACCTGTTAAAACCAAGATACACATGTCCAAATGTTCCTCTGCCAAGCAGGCGTCCCTTCTTCCAGCGTGAACCAGGGCTGGGAGGGTTTTCTGTCCTACCTGGACTTCGTGGAATGACAGGAGATGCTCCTGCTGAATATGATGGAGAAAAATGAGAAGGACTAGAAACTGTTATTGGAGGTGGAGGAAGAGGCAGCAGATGACTTGGCTGCTTTCCATCATCAATCCATGTTGTGGAAGACTCTCCAGATGCCTCTCCAACTCGAGGATGCAGAGGAGTGACTGCACCACTATGTATTCTGGAGCTAGGGCCAGGGCTCGCCATTCTGGGGCTAGGCACGGGAGAACATTCTGGACTACACCTGCTGTGTGGCCAGAAGACCTGCCCAATATCACCTCCAACAGAATTGTGCCCTGAATTCTGACCTGATCCTGGACTCGAACATTGTCCAGATCCTAGAAAAGTTATATCCCCATATGGTTTCCCGGGCCAAAAACCTGAGTTCTTGACATCATGCCCAAATACCCTCATTGGACTTCTTGAAGGACTTGACATTGAGCTATCAGGAGCACTGTAGAAAGCACCATGACGAGGAATCTGTAAATCTGGTACGTGAGATCTTAAAGGCCTCCGCCTGGAGGGTGGAGAAACGGCCTGATTGTTTGACAAAATATTAGCTGACTTTGAAGTTTCTATTGGATTTGTGTTGAATGAAATAGAGGTTTGAACCTTCTGCTTCGCACTACAGGATTGATAATATTTTTATCAGGATTTAATCAACAAGGCATACTCCACATTTCTTTGTAAGTGACTAACCACTTAAAGAATATGAATAAACATACCTGGAAGGACTATTTATGGAAGTTCTACCCCCATTTTCATAATCAGAAGCTTGAGGGCTCAAAAGATGTGAATCAGTAGGATCATCAATATCACTGGAACTGTCACAGGAAGCAGTAGCAGTTGGCAAGTCCCTATCAATATCCATAGCATCTTGTCCATGTAGCTCAAGTCTTGGCTCAGGAAGAGGTAAGGTCAACAATGGTTTGAAGGCATACTCAGTTGCTGATTTTGCTGATACATTACTTTCAGGTTCACCATGTTGGATATTAGAAAGGTGAACCACAGGAAGTGGAAGTGGTTGAGCACAGGGCCTGACCGGCCTGTCTACAAAGCTCTGACAACGTGATACTGGTATTGACGTGGATGGGGATGGTGACCTAGAATGCACTCTTGTTCGAGAGCCCTTCTCTGAAATATTGTCGCTACGACATCTTTGAGATGATCGTGACTTACCACTGGATTTTTCTAAAAAGCCAATCTTGAATTTCCTATTTATTGTATCGATGAAACTTTCCGTAGTTTTCTTCTTCTCTTCTTTTGATGAAGACCATCCCCACCAGGATCGCATGGTTATGAGAAAATCTAAATGGAACTGACAAAAGTCAATCTTTATTGTGAAATATTACGGCTTAATCTCTGCCGATAGATACAAACTTCTTGGAGCTAATATAATGAGATCAGTACCAACAAGCTTTACATAGTTTACTCATTAGAGTGGCACAAAATTATCCAGCTAAGCATGTTGGCAGCAACTGATCTGCAGTGCAAAAAGCTCTGTATACCTGCAGCCCTGCAATACATTCTCTAATTAGCCTTTATTGGCCCAAAAAATGAGTAGATACATTCTCTAATTATCTTTCATTGATCCAGAAATTGAACACAAATGTTTGCAAGAACCATATCGCCAGAGTATAGAGGAACAGATGCTGGCATCTCAAAGGTCTAGCCTCTAAGGCTCGAAGACAGATTCTCTCTTTAACCAAACAACCCAAACTAATGGATGAGCTCAAGCATCAAAGCAAAGTACAGCACTGAACTAACATGTTCTGCAGATGAGAATCACACTCCACCACAACTACTAACTTTTCTAAATGAAGCCCAAACAGAATTTGCAAAGCGGAAGCAAAACATAAAGATTATCCATTTACATTTTAAGTGAATGAAAGACTTTGAAGTTAATTAGCTTTTTTTTTTTTGGGTATACCCAGTTCCACCGTCGGGCACAGTGACTAATCCCCTCGCTGAATTGTGCAAATTTCTATTGAAGTAAATATGTTGCAACCTAATTACTAAATAATTTCTTTATTTAATAATTACTCCTATCTTATTAGAATCGGAGTATGTACAGCACAATCATGCATAGTAAAGAAAAAGGAAGCAACATAATAACAGCACAAACTGCCCAGGTACTCTCTGCTGTGATACCCAAAAACTCAAGAATCAAAGAGTGCCTTTGTAAACAGATCTACAATAGTATAATATTTAAAAATAAAATAAATAAAAAAATCCTCCAAACGAAAGCTAAAAGTGGCAAATACGCAGATATGCAAGTATATACAAGTTTTTTTCCTTGCAAGTCATAAGCAAAGTTAAATTAGTACTCCCTAAGACTTGTTATTATGAAAATCAGATGCTAAGCATGGTCTTATAAGTTAAGATAATTAATGATTTCAATGAATTGATGGTATGATAGAAATCAAAGAGCAGTTTGAACCATAAAGGAGCATAATTTAAGCTGAAATGAAGCATAACCCTGCAGTGATTGCAGATATAGCTATACTAAAGTGTATGTATTACAGGAATTGGTGAGTTGAAGTGAAATCTGGGGTGAATTATGGTGAAAGGCAAAGCCCTAATAATTACTCACCAGGGATTAGCAGATAACCGGAGCTGACACAACCGAAATGAACGAATGTGCTCCACTACAGCTTCAGTTACTGAGAAGATGGAAGTTAAAATGAAGATAGAAAGGGAAGAAGAATAAGAAGGGGATAAGCGCGTGTAGATATTCGTTTTCTAGAGAGAGAAATTGATGAAAGTGTGCATGGGACCTCCCTCAGGTTTGCTAATCACAATTCATGTACAATTTTTTTAAAATTTTGAATTAGGGTTCACTTTCTCTATTTATCTGAGAAAATACATTGAATAAATTCTGTATTGTAATCTTAATTGCTTACTACTATCACTAATTCTTAATATTTTTAGCATTTATTATTTGTGGTAACGTTGTTGCATGAGGGCAGCATGAATTGGAACCCATTACATCCATCATGCTTTAATTGATTATATCCAATACGTTTTTGTTTTGATTGTGTTGGTAAAAATGTACTTGATTTAGAAAACGAGAAATATATGTTTGTAGAAAGAAAATAAGAAAAAATTGTGAAAATTTAATTGAGTAAAGTAAAATCTGTAAGCCACTACCTATCTTTCTTAATCAAAATTGGAAAGGAAAATTTTAAATTATGTTAATACTAGCCAAGCTTAGTTAGCCACCTTATTGGTCAACTTCAAATCAATCTAGAACTATAGAAAGCTTATCGATTGAACCTACGTACTAAACTACTAACCAACCTAGCAAATTGGATGAGTAGTACTTTAATGGAGAATATTGTGAAACTTATTATCTCTTAGATGACTCACTTAAGGTTTATGGAATCAAATTAGAGTTGATGGTTAAGGAAAGAATGCAATTGGTATGCTAAATCGGATACGAAACAGTTAAGATAGTTTAAGTCTCAAAAAAAAAAAAATTAATTAGATGTTTCTTAAATTATAAATCAGTTAAAATTATCAAGATACCTCATATTATACAATATTTGTATTATTGAGAAATGATTTGTTTTGAACATTTGTCACATTTAATTTGATGCTATGCACCTTGTTAATTATTCCATCAATGAATGAATGATACAAAATGTACATAATTTATCTCTCACTCATAAAGTATGTTGTTTATAAAATGTTATCATAATTGTCACATTTAATTTGATACTATGCATCATTGCATCAATGAACATCAATTTGCAATTTTAATTAGCTATTATTTATATAATGCAAGATTTTATTTTTTATTTTTTGTCTTATAAAATCAAGTCATAGTGTCATACCGCATAAGATAAATATATTTAGCATAGATACAATTCTTATTTTACAAATTAAAGGTTCTAAATGTTGTTGTTTTTTTTTTTTTTTTTTTTGGTGAAATAAGACGTCACGGTAAAAAAAAATATTCATATAACTTTACCATTAAAAATAATTTATACGGTGTTGAATGACAGTGATGGCATAGGCCCAATATGCTCCGTGACAATGAAGGTACAAAAGACATGACAATTCGATATATAGACTTAATATAGTTAAAGTAATGTAGGATCTAGGAAGATAATTAAAGTATAATCATTTACCAAAAAAGTAACTCAAGTGACGAAGGAACCTAATTGACTAATTTCCACAAGTGACAATTCCGCCCGCAAATTATGCTGTGCAACCGAATGCACCTTGCAAGGTGCATACGGTTGCAAAACGGCGCCGTTTTGGTTAAAAAAACGCGCGTCCAACTTAAAGAATAAATCAGGTTCGATTCTCAGCAATAGCATTTTTATATATCCAGAAATTCATAACTATATATCCAGAAATTCATAACTATATATCCAGAAATTCATAACTATATTTCCACAATTTCATAACTATATATCCACAGTGAATGAATGAAGTAAAAATCCACAATGAATGAATGAATGAAGTAAAAATCCACAATGAATGAATGAATGAAGTAAAAATCCACAATGAATGAACTAAATATCCACAATATATGATTGAACTAAATATCCACAATGAATGAACTAAATATCCATAAATTTATAACTATATATCCAGAAATTCATAACTATATATCCATAAATTCATAACTATATATCCACAGTGAATGAATGAAGTAAATATATCTACAATGAATGAACTAAATATCCACAATGAATGAACTAAATATCCATAAATTCATAACTATATATCCAGAAATTTATAACTATATATCCAGAAATTCATAACTATATATCCATAATAATGCTATTGCTGAGGATCGAACCTGATTTTTTTTTTTAAAGTGGGACGCACATTTTTGTCAAAACGACGTCGTTTTGAACCGTATGCACCATGCGCATGGTACATTCAGTTGCACAGTATAACTATTGCAATTCCGCCAGTTTCTATCAATCACAACAATAAAAAGGTGATTTTAACTTTTTACCTTACGATTTCCACTTAAAAAATAATAATTTCAAGCCTATTTATTTTCTCCAATTTGTTCTCATAATTTGTAGGTTCATGTTGTGCAATCATTATTGTGTGGACCATGGTCTACACAATTTGTGTGAACCATATTTTGTATACTGTAAAATAATATACATTCAATATAAAAATAATGTACATTCAATACAAATATAATGTACATTATATTCAGGGGATGTACATTATTTTTGTTCTGAGTGTACATTATATTGTATAATGTACATTCAATATAAAAATAATGTACATTTAGTATATTAAAAATGTACTTTTTGTTATGGTCCACATAACATTGTATGGACCATGGTCCACACAATAATTTGCCCATGTTGTGTCAACCCCATAAAACATATCGACTTTAACTTAGATATTGAAGTGTACTAATTATGCATGCTATTTGGATACTATTAGCATCGTGCGAATAATATTTGGTACAATTAAAAAGGGTGTGTTTGGGGATAGTTATGCTGTGGGCTCGTGCCCAGCGTGCTTCATGGGCACGGTCAGGCACCGTTATCTTTTTTTTTTTTTTTTTTTTTTTTAATTTAATTTCAAACCGCTTCGTTATAGGAGCATATATTCACAGCTTTGTGTTCATAATTTCATAACTATACATTCATAATTCCATAACTGTACATTCATAATTCTATAATTGTACATTCATAATTCCGTAACTGTACATTCATAATTCAATAACTGTAAATTCATAATTTTTGAAGCTCTATGTTCATAATTGTAAGTTCATAATGTCAGAGTTCTATGTTCATAATTTCATAACTGTACATTCATAATTCCATAACTGTACATTCATAATTCCATACTGTATATTCATAATTCCATACCGAACATTCATAATTTTCGAAGCTCTATGTTCATAATTGTAAGTTCATAATTCCATAACTATACATTCATAATTTTATAACTGTACATTCATAATGTCATAACTGTATATTCATAATTTCATAACGAATATTCCGTTAACGGCGTTAACAGCGTTTCGAACAATTTTTTTTTTTTTTAGTTAAAACAGCGTCGTTTTCACGGAAAACGACGCCGTTTTAGCGCCGTGCGCATAGCATAATTTGCCGTGTGTTTGGTTGATGAGTTCTGCCCATAAGAATGTATATGAAAGTGATTGTTATTGTTTAGTTAATAGGTTTTTAGAACATTACTATGAGTTTCGAATACCCCATAAATTAAAAAACTCATACCCAAAAAAAATAAGGGTTTCATTCTCTTATTTATTCTCAAGCACTATTATTAGTAATCATTCATATTCCACCCTACTACCAAACATGTTAAATACTTTTACCAAAACTCATTACCATTACCAAGTATTTGATACTCATTCCGATTTCGATTCTCATGTGCGAACCAAACACACTCTAAATATACCTCCCAAGTATACCATGCACGACTATATCTAATACTAAAAACATTGGTGTCAACTAACACACCTTAAAATTAATTCTCATACATTTTGTTTTCCGCCAGTTCGTATCTACGCCAGAAATAGCATCACTTATTACACATTTGTCCATGATAACACATTTAATATTCTGCTACGTAGCTCCTTTATACTCTTTAAAAAATCAACGAAATTAAGAACACTTAGATTGTAGCTAGTTCAATATGAAAAATATTAAATAAATTCCATATTTGATACTCCATAATTAGCAGAATGCTATGAAGTTTCAAACGTGTATTGAATGATGAGAAGAACAGTTAGACCAATTTACGTGTGAAAAAAATGTGTGGTTGGTTGACTTAGCCCAAGTCGTTTACCCCAACCTCAAGCCAAGATTTAAGTCCATTGAAAGCTAACTATCTATTTGACTTGAGTTTACAAAGTCAACCATACAAAAAGTCTGAAAGTAAAAGAAACACTATGAAAACGACAGAATAAACACGTATAGGTAAATGGATCAATAACTTTTTATACATAGCGCCGCCGTGTAGGTGGGGCGACGGCGGCTAGCTATGGATTCCATAACAAATCAATCTAATGATGCATATTTTATGGACCTTAACCGATCAATGTTTGCTTTTGCCTCTTTGTTTTATACTCCATGGACTTATCTTGCTCCTCCACTCTTCTCTTTAGTTCATTTAACTCTTCATCCCTCACCATGCCGCCTAACTTCTTGTTTAACTCGTAAGCTTCACCCAGTCTCTGACGGCATTCTTTGCTAGCTGAATCGTGCGAAACAACTGCCACCCAGAAGATGAAAGGATCAACATTGATCATAGTGGTCTCTAACGAACGATATGATGCAGGAAAAAAAAAAAAAAAATTACATTCCATGGCATTGCATACCAAAAAAAGTGTATTACTACAGTACCCACAATCTCAGAAGCAATTGAATATGCCTGAACCAGATTCCTAGAGACCATTATAGAAACATATATGTAATGTAATACAGATGGGTGGCAAAATGACCAACCTGGCTTTGGATAATCTATTCCAATGATGCATTTTGCTTTCCGTTGTATGGATAGAGGAGCAGTCCAGGGCTCATAAATATACTCCTTGGGCATGTCTGCCATTGAAAGGAAATATTAAGGAGAAGAAAAAGTTATTTTAGCCAATAAAAGTTAATTACTACCCTTGTATAATACCTTTTAATACGGGGAGAAAATGCCTTATGTAATTCCCATCAGGATCATACTTCTTCCCAAATGTGATTGGAGAATAAATGCGGTGATACTGACAGCAAAGAAGTTGCAATTTTGGGGGATGGAAGAAAAGTGAAAAGTGAAAACAACACTTCATTACAGATAACTTATGTAATCATATAGTTATTTACAGATCAAATGAAAGACAAATACCGTTTGAAAACAAGAAAATATGATATATATATATATTGATAGTTGGTAGCAGAGAATCGTACTTGGTAGAAAAATGAAGAGCAGGACAGCCACATCCAGTTCCCATTGTTGATTGCCCAATCAGAATCAATTAGTAACCTCTCAAATACATCACGTCCTTTTTCCCAATGGATGAACTGCCAGCATAGTAATAGACATTAAAAAACACAAAAAGTCTAGAGGAGTACAGATAAAGATAAATGATTACCAGGTCTCCACGAGTCAGAAAACATGCAACAGAATGCCTAGCCAGATGGTGCATCCAGCCCCACTTCCGAAGCTGTGGAAATAAGAATGAACCAAACAAGGTTGATGATTGTAAGTTGGGTGAAGGAGCAACTTTAGCTTCCACAATCAAAGCAATCTACCCGTAACATCTAACCTGGACCATTATCGCATCAATCCAAGGAAATCCTGTTCTAGAATCTCTCCAAGCAGCTAGCAATTCATCACTTTCCTTCCAGGGTATCTATTATACAAAAGCAATATTATATGCAAACACACAACGTTGTTGCTTTAAAGATACAAGCCATGGTAATTTACTAATCACCTGCTTGCAGATTCTATTGCCCCTCATTCGATCAAAACTAGGAGTGCCAAAAGCAACTGTGTAGAAGAAATCCCGCCACAACAACTGAAAGAAGTTGAAACATGAAATCACACAAGTGTACAAGACCTACAACTACATATTAGCAACCAAAACTGACCTGTCCAAGGAGAGAAACAGGTGGAGATGTATGCCTTTTAACACTTCTCAGAACTTCCTGAACACATTGGTAGAAATACCTGGAAGAGAGACAGCCAAACTTCCGACAAATTTGAAACAAGAAATGGATTAGAATGAACTAGGAAAATGCTAAAGTTTTGCAAATTTTATATGACTCACTTTTAAGTAGGGAGATAAAACAGTTGTGGCTGGCCTTAAAAATGCAGATGGGTTGCCCTTGGGTTTCTCAAAATATGCTACCCATTCCTGCATTAAGAACAAATAGATTCCATAATTCAGCACAACTGAGCAAAAGAAAAAAGTACTTATTCATTTGGATAAGGGTAGGAGAATTTCTGATTTCAGAAATGCATGAATGTTAAAATAGAAGAAAAAGATGAAAAACTTTAGTTATAAATGCAGACTTTCAGGCTAACCAGGTGTCTGGCATCTTATTGCAGAATTGCTATTCTTTAGCAATAAGATTAGCCCACAGTAATGGTATTGATTGAGCAGTCCAAAGACAAACAGACAAACAGCTTAGACACAGGCAGATGCTGATGCCATTTGTCAATGTCTGGAAAAAGGACATTCTAATTCAAGATGGTAACCATAATGATATGCCTTGTGTTTTTAGAAAAGCCATCGCTTAATCCAACTTCAGTGTTATGGCATACCTTGTTAGCAATTGACTCTCTCAACCTCCTTAATGCTTCTGATTCACCTCCTCTAAAAGATGTCCTCTCATCCTGCCCAAGAAGCTCTTATTACTACAAATTCTGCCAATTAAAAAGAAGTTGAAAAGAAAAGAAACTAATAATGTCATACCTCACTGCAGTCAACATAGCCAAGTTCTTCAAGTGTTGGGACTGCTGAGACTTGAAGACTCCCCAAATTGCCAATCGGGGGAAGCGAAGACAGCGATGTTGACAGAGGGGATGAAGCCCAAGATGGTATCCCAGCCAGTTTAAGAAATGATTGGTAAGTAAGAGGTGGTGTTCCCCCATTCTATCCAAACATTTTATGAAACATTGATGTGAATTTACAGTCAATTAAAGTGTCAGTAACTGAAATGAAAGGGAATGTGATTGTCAATAAACTACTAAATCCTTAGCTACCTTGTGTATAATGTCTGCAGGGTCAAATAGGGTATGACTCACAGGAGTGAAAGTCTCTATTCCAGCTACAGAAGCATAGTTCTACAAAAGAAGAATGAACGTTTTTTGTTGGTCACCAAATAAGCACACAATTGTAAATAGTGTAGATGACTGATCACACTAAGAATCTCAGACAGGTGAGAAACAAGTTATTGCTAAAAAGCTCTCACCTTTACTTTAGCATCTAATGCTTGGTAATAGGGTTCTGTGTCATACTCAAAGCACAGTTTGCTTATGCTCCACTACAAGTCCAAAAAAATCAAACTTTCAATCTTAAATGAAATGAAATTAGTTGAAACTGTAAATTGAAAGATCACACTAACTCCACACTCAAAATTAAAGCAGTAAAAAAGAAGAAGAAGTTTACCTCCTTCAAACAGCGAATCAAGACTTGGGAGGGGTCTCCCCTGAGAACCAACAAGCGCGAACCCAGGTTGTTAAGACTGGAGTCGAGATCAACAAGGGTCTCTAGCAAGAAACGGATCCTGTTCAAACCGGCCCGAGTGGAGCCGGGCGAGAAAGCGGTTGGGTCTGGCTCCATGTAATGGGGGTCAATCACAAAGAGCGGGAAGCATTTGGTGGAGGCATTAGCTGCGTGTTGGAGAGCGGGGTTGTCGTGGATACGCAAGCCTTTCCGGAACCACATCAAGGAGCACGACTCCGAAGCCATGGCAGTGGCAGGGTGCATAGAGGTGCGCCGTGCGGAGAGAGAAATGGCGGAAAGAGTTGTTTGAAGAGAGAGAAAAACGAAGTCGCATAGAAGCAGGGGAAGTTTCCCGCGCTCACCTTAAATGTGTCGGTTGAAGAGCAGAGTGTTCGACGTGGCGAGTCTATCACCGCTACTGTGAGTGATGTCCCTCCGGCGTGGCGTAATGGTTAGGGAAGGAGGTACGACAGGCTAAAGAGATGCCACGCCGTTAAACTTAATACAGACAAACCCCTTGACTTGATTAAAAGTTAGTTGGCCTGGAGACTAAATAAATAGCAATTCCTTTATTTCATCAATAAGTCTCCTTTCAATTCTCTCGTGGGTACTCTCTCTCTCTCTCTCTCTCTCCTTATCTTTACTCTTCTTCTTTTTTTAAATATAGTTTATCTAAACCCCTAACTTGTAACTTGTAAGACCATCAAACTCTTTTCAGAGGCAGAAAGAAAGAAACCATATATATTTGCTTCTGATCTGTAACATGGAATGGAAGATCTTAGTAACAGTACACAATTACACATTTTTGACTTAATTAATTCTATTACAGGCCGATGGAATGGAAGCTGGAAATGCTGCAATAATAATAATCTATGAGTGATGAATTGTTGGATGGCGAACACCAACCAACCTGACATCATCAATCACAGGGCCGCATAAAGAGCCAGAATGATCACTCTTCATGTGATAGAATGAGCTCAAGAACCTAATCCTAGTCCGAGTTGAGACAGCTGTGAAGCGGTGGTTGGCTCGTATGAAGCCGCCCTTTCCCTTAGATTGATAGGGCACTTGAAGGGTGAGCCTCCCAGCAAATGCCTCCACACCCATTGATCCCTCGCATGAATTGTTGGCATCTCCAACTGAGAACATTAGCTCATACACTTTCCCTGGTATAGTCCTCACTATCTGTACCACCGCACTTTCCCTTCCTGCAACCAGCTCCACGGCTCTTGTTCCTGATGGAACCAAGAAGTGATTTGAATCTATGTACTTTACGGCCTTGAGAGATTCGATGATCCAACCCGGCAGTGGAGAGTGATCGTCCTCGATGTTGGGAGGAATTAGGACTCCCCAAGTTGTGTTGGGTAAGATGTATGGTCCCTCTTCAAAGTCACCATTCTTCAGCATATTGCCTCTTAGCCTTCTAGGAGCGTTCAAAAGCTTGAGAGCGACTGAATCAATGATTGGGCCGCAAGAAGGGTCCTTCTCTCGGGCGGGATTGTGGAGCACAATTTGAACTCTGTTAGACTCCGCCAAGAAAGCCCAGGAGTAAGTATCAAACCCCGTACTGCTATACATGGTTTGCAATGGCAAGATTCCCCAGTCATTTGGCTCAGAGTTAGGGGACACTGACACGTTCAAACGTTCTTCTTGGGCACAAGTCCTGACGAAGGTGAAGGAGAGGGAGTAATAGCCTCCTTTGATGACCCGAACAGTGGTTGTGATGGATGCATCTTCACCCAGCCTCACTGCATGCGAACCTTGGGGCACCACCAGCACCATCTCACCCTGCTTTTCACCTGATTTTATGTACTCCACAAACCCCGATGAGATCACCCATTTTGGTATCCCGTGAGGATCAATCACTCTGCTTCCTTTCATCTGTGATGGTTTTGGGCCTCGTTCGAAGTTACCATTTGGCACTAATCCTGTAGGTTACGTTAGTACATGTTAGCTAGGCGTCTGATCTGCACATACATACCTACATGCATATATATATATATGGAAAAAGAAAGCTATCTAGAAAGAAAGAAATGGGGTATGTAGCATATATACCGTCAGTGATGAGACGACAGAGGCCAACATGAAAGATGGTACAAAGAAACAACACTAGCGCTGTTAGCTTCGTCATCTTCTTCATATACTCTGGATCTAAGAATGAGAGAGAGAAAGAATGGAGTTGGATGAATTTGAGAAAGCTAGCTAGCGACGATGGAAATATATATATATATATATATATATGAACCCCGGGCGGGGTTTAGTACGTAGAAGCTAGGAAGCTACTCTCTGCACATGCAATCTTAGCCTAACAACACTACAACGTAACAGGCAGAAAGGCAGAGCGACATAAATGGTATTTTTTATTAATTAATTAAATAAAAAAATTATAACTTATATTATTATTATATATATGGTGTAGTGGTGCATGTAATGTAAACTAAAGTAGATCATGAAAGGATCGGAGGGAGCGGAGTTGGGAGCTGTACGTGGAATATTTTGAAAAAAGTAGAGGGTTTAATTAGTAAACCGGCCATTCAAATGAATTGAAGCAACATCTGATCTATCAGAGTCAAAGGGGAGGGGGAAGAGGTCCGAACTAGGGAAGGTTGAACCATACATGATATATATATATATATATAAACTCATACCTGTCGGGATCGGTCGGTCAGTCCATCTACTCGTGCATGGGATTAAGGAAGATCAGAGCCATCCAACATAATCTGAACCCATGTGCAACAGATCGATCAGATACCTAAAGCTACAGCAAAATGATATAATATATCTCCAACAAATTAAACTCTTTTCTTTCCTTTCTTATGGCTGGCTTTACTTATAATATACTCCGTATAGTATGGTCCAACCCGCCTTTTTAGCATCAAGGTAATTAATCTCTTTAATAATTGAAATAAGAGAGAACATATATACATGATCTACATGCAACGTTCATCCCAAGCAGTGCTCTTTAATTTAATTCTCTTGGCGGTTCGAACCAAGGCAATCCGAATCAATATGTGCGCTCTGAGGCTAGCTTCCCAGGCAGCAATAGTTATGCTGTGCAACCGAATGTACCATGCGCATGGTGCATACGGTTCAAAACGACGTCGTTTTGATTAAAAACGCGCGTCCTACTTTAAAAAAAAAAAATCAGGTTCGACTCTCAGCAATAGCATTATTGTGGATATATAGTTATGAAATTGTGGATATATAGTTATGAAATTGTGGTTATATAGTTATGAATTTATGGATATTTAGTTCATTCATTGTGGATATTTAGTTCAATCATATATTGTGGATATTTAGTTCATTCATTGTGGATTTTTACTTCATTCATTCATTCATTGTGGATTTTTACTTCATTCATTCATTCATTCATTGTGAATTTTTACTTCATTCATTCATTGTGGATATATAGTTATGAAATTGTGGTTATATAGTTATGAATTTATGGATATTTAGTTCATTTATTGTGGATATTTAGTTCAATCATATATTGTGGATATTTAGTTCGTTCATTGTGGATTTTTACTTCATTCATTCATTCATTGTGGATTTTTACTTCATTCATTCATTCGTTGTGGATTTTTACTTCATTCATTCACTGTGGATATATAGTTATGAAATTGTGGATATATAGTTATGAAATTGTGGTTATATAGTTATGAATTTCTGGATATATAAAAATGCTATTGCCGGGAATCGAACCTGATTTCTTTTTTAAGTGGGACGCGCGTTTTTTTAACCAAAACGGCGCCGTTTTGCAACCGTATGCACCTTGCAAGGTGCATTCGGTTGCACAGCATAATTTGCGCCCAGGCAGCTGGTCGTTTCCCATCCCATAGCTCATCTTGGGATCCATAATGCTTGATTTGGACCAAGTTATGCTCCCCGTCTGTGGGTTTTGACCCATTCTTGTAGCCTTCCACATTTTTAACTACATTGGTTGAGCTTTTCGCGGTATAAAAGGCTCATATTTTAGCCTACACAATTATGTCTCATTATTACACTTCTTGCATTAATATAATCCATTCACTATTATCACAATTTTGTTCTTTATATTTTATGCGAAGTAATATTGTCCGATTTTATTTAATTTATGCACATGTTTAATATTGCTCTATGGGCAGCGATACGATTATTCCCCTGATTAATAATTGTTATATGCATGTTACATAGGATCGGACACGTGCAGGCTGCACAAAAGGTGCTATATGGCTGCAATGTTATAACTCCATGCTTCTTAATTGTATGTTTGAGTGTAATATAATGCAAGTAATTTATTCACGTATGTATGGTGATAGGATTAAATTGATTCGGGTGAGCCGACTCAAATAATAACCTGATAATTAAAAATGTAACTTATATTAATGGTTCACCTTATAAGGTAGATCATGATCCATGGTATAATTTGGTATTCGATCAATCACTTATGTTTTAGTGCAATCTCATTATCTGATTGATTGATTAATCGAAGATGAAAACAACGGAGAACTAGAAAAGAGGACATAAACATTAAACACCAACCATAATATATATTCATGATTACAACCAACGAACCTTAATCATGCTTAACAAAACACTCAACAACGTAATGTAACTGGAAATTAAAGCAAAGAAATATTGGGTAAATATCAGAAAAAAAGCAAGCACTACGTACGCATAAAGATAGATTTCAATTTGTTTGAAGTGGAGAGATTAATATTAACTGATCGATCTTGCGTGCATCCGGGCGGGGAATTAAGTTTGGATCAGCGATGATTCTGGTTCTGGCGTCCTGAAACGTCGGATGCTAGCCGGGACGCAATAGCGGAGTGGTACATTATGTCGTGGAACGTGGAAGTCTCTACGGTCATTTTCCTCAGCTCTTTTGCCTTCTCCTCGGTGAAACACCCGGGTTGGAACTTGGGAGCCCCGGAGCAGGAAGTTGAGGCTTGTTGGATGTAGTCCGGATTGGATGCCCAACCGAAAAGCGGGGTGAACCAATTGGAGTTTGGGAGGGGCAGTTTCTGGGCTTTGGTCCGATCATCGTGAGAAGAAGAAGAAGAAGAAGATGCTGCTGCAGAGATGATTGGGAAACAGTGAAACGAAGTTGCCATTATATTTGCCAATCTGAGATAGCTTAATTAGCAGAGTTGGAGTGGGGGAGAAGGATAGAATTGAATTTGAAGTGTGGCAACTGGCAAATGAAATGGATAAGATTTTACACGTGGCAGTTCTGGAGTTGTTTTTTACTTTCGCTTTTTGCTTTTTGCTTTTCACTGATACCGACGCCAGGGAGGTGGAAGAGAATGTGATATTTCCGACTGGACTGGGGCTGAGCTCTCATTCTCATACTTCATATTTGGAACGTTTCTAAAAGCAGATTTAGTATAGACCTAAGCAGGAAGCCCATCAAATATAGACATATGTCCAAGATGACATGGATTGGATAATGCAACGCCCAAATTTGCAATCATAAACTTGGTCTCAGTATCAAATGAGAGAGCAAGTGTGATGACGAATGATTTATTTATACTTAAGCGACCTTCTTATCCCATTATGACAATTTATAATTTTGTGCCCTTTAATCGCCCCACATTGAATAATTTTGTGGAGAGTTATCGTAACTCTTCACTACTGTGATTATAAGTCAGTTTGGCTTATTTGTAATTCACAATTTATTGATTAATTAAACCTTCACAAATTATTTTAAAATTATTAAACCGTTTATACTACACTATATCACAAATGTCAAGAAGCTCTTGCATGTGTTTACATTACCTCAACAAATTTTAATTGAAATGTGACCAAAACTAAAATGGAAAACACCAAGCTATGTATATTAAAAATTATATATATATCGAGAAAAATGGTGACTTTATTCCAAAAAACAGTGAAATACATGCTGAATAATTATAAATTTTATCAATTTTTTTTTTTAAAGGCAGCTTGACCCTATATATGACCCTTGCAATGGCTGTTGCAGTTTCCTTGCGCCCAGCCAGCCCTGTAGTGTAGTTGTATATTACTATATTTTTTTTCTTTTGTTTTTTTCTCTCTGATCTATCAATCTTCTAGGGTTGGAGGTGTGAATTCACTCAGAACTCAAACCGATCGAATCCCAATTTAGGGTTTCCCACCTTGTTGATTGTCGCGCCAATCTCCCTAATACACATATCCATTTCCTTATCTATATCTGATCTGTAGAAAATTTTACATTTTAATTTGCAATTTTCTTCTATACAGTGGATAAACACATCAAAGAACAAAAATCAGCATATAAAGTTTGGATTTTGTGCAGGCAATTGTGCGTATTTTTTGTTCAATTGTCAGTTGGTGCTGTTTTTGCCGTTCCTTGTTTTATGAAATTCGGATCTGGGACTTGGCCGCGTTGATTTTGATTTTGCTAGTATCTTATTTATAGCATATTTGATCGAAAGAGGAAAGAAAGTATTTTTTTTTTAGCATATTTATATTCTGGGGGCAATTAGGAATATTGTTTGATGGATAAGAAGGTTGCCGCTCCGCTTGTTTGCCACGGGCATTCCCGGCCGGTTGTTGATTTGTTCTACAGCCCCATCACTCCTGATGGATTTTTCCTCATCAGTGCCAGCAAAGGTAGGTAACTCACATACGTATTAATTATGTTTTCTAGATGCTGTGCATTGAGACATTAAACAGCAAGCCAAATTCGACTCAAGTCACCAAAGGACATTCCTTTATGAATGTAGTTGTGCATATCATTGTAACTATTAGATAAATAAATAAATTATTCCTTTTATTTAGGCCTATACCAAGCTGCATGATACTTTTATATGTCCGTGCATTTGCATTTTTGTGTAAGCTATTTTCTTTCAAGTTGCATAGATACTGGTATTGTTTCACCAGTTAACTTGAAATAAGATGTTGAGCTTTGATCATATGCATATGGCAGTTACCTCAAGACAGTACCCTTGTAGGAGAGTCTAGTCTTGGTGGGGGGGATGGAGACATTTGTCTTGTAATTATATTAGGTTGCTTCATTTCAGTCATTATTTTAACCTGCAAATATTATATTATATTATCTATTTAGATTCCACTCCAATGTTGAGAAATGGGGAAACTGGAGACTGGATTGGAACCTTTCAAGGACATAAAGGTGCAGTATGGAGTTGCTGTCTTGATAAAAATGCTCTTCGTGCAGCATCAGCATCTGCTGATTTCAGTGCGTAAGTGATTGTTGTTTATCTCTAAAATTTAAAATTTGACATCCTCAAGTGACAACACTGTTTTGTTAATGCCTTGGTGATTTCTATTTTAGAGTTCAGTAGTTTCAATTTAAATTAGGTGCTGGTAAATCATTTATTAAAGTACAACAATCTGTAGCTATTGATAAACAATATGTAAAGGCCATCATTTCTTTTAACTTGGGTTTTAATGGGTACTCATCCTTTCTGAGCACACTTCTTCATTTGGTTCTCTTAAATATATACTGTTTTCATGACGGTTTTTGCAGAAAATTATGGGATGCATTAACTGGGGATGAACTGCACTCATTTGATCATAAGCACATTGTCCGGGCATGTGCCTTTTCAGATGTATGTATTATTTTCTACCTTCAACAATTGGCACATTCGTGATTCGTGCCTAGATAGGAAACCTAACATTGGTAGTAGTGGGAGATAAGCAGGACAAGCATAGGCCAAGGCATACTCTCTGGGAAATGACATCATATGCTACTGTAGTGTCCTTCTCTTACACAAGTGCACAACTTTAGCTATCAAGAGAATTTATTAGAGAAATTACATCCTTATACTCAATCTCAACTAGATTGGTGTTTATGAATCTCAACTATGTTCATAAACAGTATAATTACATGCAAGATATTTACTCCTGGTCATAGTAACATGCTTGCCTATGTCAACCTGGCCTTGCATACTCTAATCAATATCTAAGTCCATGTTTACATGGGGCTGGTTATGTTGGAAACTCGCTGTGCCAGGAAATTTACTTATTTGGGGATTTATGTTTAATAGCCATTTCTGATACAAACATTACCTCTTGCCTTGTGTTTTATATGAATTGAAATTGATCATTTCAGGATACACATCATTTGCTCACCGGTGGTCATGAAAAAATTCTTCGCATATTTGATCTTAATCGACCAGATGCTCCTCCAAGAAAAATTGATAGTTCTGGTACAGTTAGGACAGTTGCTTGGCTACACAGTGATCAAACCATATTAAGTTCCTGCAGTGATATGGGTGGAATTAGGTATGTGTAATAAATATGTTTTTTTTTTTAAATTTATTTAATGATCTTTTCTCCTTTGTATTGATTACAAGATATTTACATTTTAGCCCAAAGTGTGAAATATGAACCAACAAGAACCATAGATTATGACTCATGCATGTAAAAGTTTTTAGGTTAATTTGGTAAAAGATGTTGGCAACTGGCTAGGGTCAACAGACATTTTAAACCTCATGAGGTTGATTTGAGTGGCCTGTTTCATAAAAACTATAGCCTAATAGGATATCTGCTCCTGCTGCTGAAGCATGAGATCAAAATGTGAATTTTGGAGTGTGAATTTATATTCCCTAAACCCTTAATGACCCTATAATGCCCTGGAAATCTTGGAGTAATGTGGGCATACCGGTGCAGTTTATGGTGTATTGCAGTTTTTGTTTTTTGTCATGGTTTCTTTATTTGCCCTTTCTCATTTAACTTTTGTTGTTATTACGTAGAATCTGGGATTTAAGAAGCAGTGAAGTTGTTCAAACCCTTGAGACCAAATCTTCTGTAACAAGTGCTGAAGTATCTCAGGACGGCCGTTATATTACGACTGCTGATGGTTGCTCTGTCAAGTTTTGGGATGCTAATCAGTATGTGTCAAATTGAACTCATATGCTGAAAACAAATCTTAATGAATTGTTTGCCTGGCTTACATTTTATTTTATTTGTTTTTTTCAGCTTTGGATTGGTAAAGAGCTATGACATGCCCTGCAATGTTGAATCTGCTTCCTTGGAACCAAAGTTTGGTAACAAGTTCATTGCTGGAGGGGAAGATATGTGGGTTCGTCTCTTCAATTTTCAAACTGGAGAAATGATTGGTAGGTTTCCCAGCACTTGTATAGGATCTTGAAACTCCCACTCCGCTCCCCTTGTTATTCTGCCTCTCAAACATTAAAAAATGGAATTCTGTTTACTTATAATAAGTTGGTAATGCTATCTACCGTTTTTTTGACACATTTTTGTGAAGCGATATATGCTAATCTTGAATATTTTTGTGCACAGGATGCAACAAAGGGCACCATGGCCCTGTACACTGTGTACGATTCTCTCCAGGAGGAGAATCTTTTGCATCGGGATCAGAAGATGGAACAATTAGAATATGGCAGACTGGTCCTCGGGATCAAAATCAAGCAGAGACTTGGGCTGTTAATGGACCGATTGCAAACACAAGAGATGGCAATGAGGAGGTGGCCAATAGGATTGAACAGTTACACATTGCCGAAGGAGGGAAGATTGATGAGAATAAGGGACAGTTACAGGCAAATGATGTCTGAAGAGGGTAGAATAGCTAGCGCTTTTTGTTCCATCTATGTATGTTCTGCACTGGTTTGGAAGCTGTAAGTTGATAGTAATTTCTGAGGATAGTATATGGTATGGTTTGAATAAGACCGATCTTTACAAAATGTTTCAATGAAATGTTTGCTTTTTCCTCCCTCTTTGCCAAGCTGGTGAAACATCTATATTTATAGGCTATAGCAATAGTAATAGTAAACTAATATTGCATTGCTATTTGGTTGATTTGTCCAATTCTTGAAGATCGTGTGTGGGTGTTTATTGTTATTGTATATTTTTATACGAAACAAAAAATAGAATGATGTGAAGCACGTATAAAGACAGTGATTGTGGTTGGTAATGGTAATGGTATTCATGCAAATAAATGTGGAGCACGATTTTATGCTTAAAAGTGGGCAGCCATGCCAAGTCAAAGCCAACATATTTGGAAAATTAGTGTATGTGAAAGTCAAAGCAAAAATCATAGTAAATAATTTTCAGAAATATGTGAATTACAATTTTTTATCATTTCTTTTCTTTTTCCTCCAATAATTCTAAAAATAAATGAATAAACAACACCTTTAAGCAATGAGCAATTATAGATAGATAGTGAATTAATTTAAGTCATGGTAGCTAGCCGTCTTTGTATGACTCAACAACTTCCCACCCAATAAAATAAACCCACCACAAATAACAAATCAACCCACCAGCCCCTACTCACCAGTCAACACCTGGATCGGATGGACAGTTGCATCGCATTTATATATTTCAAAACCATTTCAGGGTTGGTGAAAACCGCTTTCCATTGTATATATTTATATATGTTTTTTTTTTTAAATTAATAAATTTGATGATCAAATTAAACTCTATTAATTATTCAAGAGTGATTTTTAATTTTCTAAACCGATAGTGCAAAATACAAAGTGGTTAGTTATTAATGATTACCAAAAGAATTCGAATATTTTTAATGTTTAATTTTTAATACATAATAATAATCATAATTTTGCTCAAAAATAAATACCAATATATACGGAGTTAATACCCAAAATTGTCCTCGACTATAGTGGTTTTTCTCAATTTCGTCCTAAACGACTTTGGTGACCTAATATCGTCCCAGACTTTTGTGTTTCGCTCAATTTAGTCCCAGACTTTTGTGTTTTTGCTCAATTTAGTCCCTCATTTGTTATTCTGTCCATTTGGTGTTAAATAAATAGACAATTCAGTAATTTTAATATTGGCATCTCTTTACTCATAGACATGTGAACTGCGAAATCCTTTTTTTTTTTTTTTTTTTTTTTTTTTTTACGAATTACTCCCAGAATTACTCCTAAAACTGCGAATATAAAATTTGATTTGTAGGTCCGGGAGTAATTCTGGGTGTAATTCGTACAAGAAAGAGGAATTTCGCACTTCACAGGTTGAAAGTAAAGAGAGATCAATATTGACGTTACTGAATTGTCCCTTTATTTAACACTAATTTGACGGAATAACAAATGGAGGACTAAATTGAGCGAAACACAAAAGTCTGGGACGATATTAGGTCACCAAAGTCGTTTAGGACGAAATTGAGAAAAACCACTATAGTCGAGGATGATTTTGGGTATTAACTCAATATATACGTATAAATCCTTCTCTGACTTGTTGCTTGCTGATAATATATGTATAAATAAATGGGTCATTGTATTCCAATGCGAATATAGTGATACCAGCCACCACCCGCTATCTCTCTCCGGCAGGTAGACATCACAACCACTGCACCCGGGCGGCGGCCAAATTTAGATCAGAAAAGATGGCGGCGGAAGCTGCAGCGTCGCAGGCAACAACTACCCCACCCTACTTCTGGGGAGACATGCCGGAGGAGGAGTACTACGCGTCCCAAGGAGTTCGTAACACGCAATCTTACTTTGACACCCCCAACGGAAAAATATTTACGCAGTCGTTCTTACCGGTGGACGAGAAGCAACCCATAAAGGCCACTGTTTTCATGACCCACGGTTACGGCTCCGACTCCGGGTGGCTTTTCCAGAAGATATGCATTAACTATGCTACCTGGGGGTACGCCGTGTTCGCCGCAGATCTCCTCGGCCACGGCCGCTCCGACGGCATTCGGTGCTACCTCGGCGACCTCAACAAGGTGGCTGCAACGTCGCTGTGCTTCTTCAAGAGCGTTAGATTCAGCGAAGAGTATAAGCATTTGCCGGCGTTCCTGTTTGGGGAATCCATGGGTGGGCTGGCCACCATGCTAATGTATTTCCAGTCTGAGCCGGACACCTGGACGGGGCTCATCTTCTCCGCCCCACTTTTTGTCATCCCTGAGAACATGAAGCCCTCTAAGGTATATAATAGTACGATGATTAATTAATTAGATAGATTATATATCGATCTGATCTGATCTGAATGAATTAAGGTACACTTGTTCATGTACGGGCTATTGTTCGGGTTTGCGGATACATGGGCCATGATGCCGGACAATAAAATGGTTGGGAAGGCCATTAGAGACGTTGAGAAGCTGAAGATCATAGCCAGCAATCCAAGAAGATACACGGGAAAGCCAAGGGTTGGGACGATGAGGGAGATCGCGAGGCAGTGCGAGTACGTCCAGAACAACTTTGAGAAGGTGAGTGTAGGTTTCTTGACGGTCCACGGGACAGCTGACGGCGTGACGTGTCCCAGCGGCTCACAAATGTTGTACGACAAGGCGAGCAGCTCGGACAAGACGCTGAAGTTGTACCAAGGACTGTACCACTCGTTGATCCAAGGTGAACCCGATGAAGATGCCAATCGTGTTTTAGCTGATATGAGGGAATGGATTGATGAAAGAGTTAGTTGTAATGGTACCGCCGTTTAAGGCTGCCAGCTGAGAATTTATTATGGTTTATTTACCATTTACATGCATATGTTTTACGGGCCGGATTGTTCATCCGATTCAGACCATTTTATTTAAATTTGTTGAATTATTATATTTGATGCGGTACGTAGTGTCGCTTTCACTCAACAACCTTAATAATGTTGACAGGTCCGTAGTGCGCTTTCCATTCCTGGTTACGTTGAACATATCGCAGGTCTACCTAATGACATGTGCGTGGTTAGCTAGTATAGGCAACCATGGGCGGAGCTAAATATCGATAATCTTAGATCATTATGTGTGTCTTGGAAGACTTGAAGTTAGAAATTTTCATGTGACTTGCCAAGCATAATGAGCAATCTTTATTTATTTATAAAAAAAGTTTGAGATTTGTATTTTATTAGGTCTTGTTAAGAGTCCCACAATTGATAAAATAAGAGAGAATATATGGGTTTATAAGGTCGTGGGTTAGACTAGCTAATTGGTTGGATTCAATCTTTTAGTGTGGTTTGGCCCATGTGCATTATAGCCCAGTTGAGTGTCCCTAGCCCAATCTTTTAGGTCTCTCCTTGGCTTATATTTCCTCTTTAGTTGGAGAACCACTTAACCACATGAAGTACTTCATGTGTAACTTTGCAAACTAGAGGCCACCCAATCTCTAATCTTGTTAAGAGTGAGGATTACTTTAGTCCTGCAAAGGACAAATTTGTTTTCTTTTTTTTTTTTTTTTTTTTTCATGGAATGGAATACCATTTTTATCAGTATTTGAACAATACTTTATATAGCAAAAAGCACTATCTTAGGCTTAGCTCAGTTTGTTTTAATGTGGTCTAAACGTAAATTGAACTTTCAGGACTTTGATTGGCATTCTAGATGACTGTTTTGATGGCTATTACTCAGAAGAGATGATAGAGTCTCAGGTAAAATTCAAGTCTTGGTTTATGTATGCAAATTAGTTACTAGTTACTATGCAACCCTTTACGTTCCCCTTTCATATTTAAATGAAGTGGGTGACGAAAAATATAAATAGACAGCAGATGTTTTACTTTTTTCCTTTTTGCTTGGTCAGGTTGACCAACGTGTTCTTGAGGAATTGGTGCGTGAGAAATTTCCATCCAAAGTTAGGTTCGTCTTTTGTTGTCCCTTTTTTCTACAACCTGTCCAAGTGTCCAGACTTCTACTCCGTATCTATTTTTATTGCTAATCATATTTCCTGGTTTCTTGGATCTTTACTCTGTTGCAGTTAATCATCTAGATTACCTGGGAGTCCAAGTACAATGGATCACTGGACCATGGTTCCTCTCCATATTTATGAACGTACTTCCTTGGGAAAGTGGTCATGATCTTTATCTTGTCATGCTATATATCTACATATACATGTATAATATAATGATGGTTAAGAATGCATCAAAGTTCTGCATATCATTTCATTTGCTGAAGTAAATACATAATACTTTCGATACGGTTGACTATATACCTTTTGTTTGTGTATCATGGTTTACATAATTATATGGACCATAAATACAAGATACATTTTTAATATATTGAATTTATATCATTCGTTAGTATAAAAATTAAAAATAATGTATTTTTAATACTCAAATAATATACTTTGCATATCTGATATATGTTTACGTTGGTGGATGGAGTGATGGGTTGGAAGTAAAAAATTGTTTGAGTTAATTGTGGGTAAATCCCATGAGATTCTGAATGGTGGATATATAGGAGATCAGAACTGAGAAGGAATCGAATTTGGATAGTCAGAAATTGTGATCGATTAGGTACGCTCCTCTAATCCCTTCGTCCTATAGGCTATAGACCACCAAACTTGCAAGCTATTACCATTATATTACGGAGTATATTGCAAGTGGTCAAGTTGCTGTTGCTTTTCCCCTTTAATTTATTGCCTCAAAATGATCTGCTTATTTGGTGGCTTGCCTTCAAAACAAAAGCTGTGGGGTACGGTTGGCATCTACAACCACATCAAGTATAGACAAACATAATACATTATACTCTTTTTTTTTAGTAATAAATTTTACTGTATAAGATTAAATATATAGAGATTATTTTTATACAAAACCACCCACACACAAATTATTTAATAAAAACAATCATGAACTATAAAATTCAAAACAGATAACGCAATAAACAATAAGTAATATAATATGAGACAAATCATTATAAGTAAAATAAATAGGGAGAGTTAAAATAAATAGTTAGATTGAGAGGTTAAATTATATGCTATTGATGAGTTAACCTACCAATACGTGTATGGGGTGGTGGATAGTTTCTATGATCATGTATATATATAGTTACCTTATGTATTTGAAAGGGGATATGGAAGAATATATTAATGGATGTCTGGTGACATTTTGGAGTTATACTATCATTCGAAGTATAGTCATTGGGAGTTGGGTTGCCATTCGAAGCATAACTACGGAGTTTAATTTGGCTCTGGACTCGAAGAAAAGCAATCATACAACTTCAGGGTTGTATCATAGTTCCTGTGCATAAATATATTTCAAACATAAGAATTAAAAAAAAAAAGACATATTTAATACTCCGTATTATATAATTTAGAGTAGTTGATAAATAGTTTATTCATGTAACTATAAGGTTACAAAGACTAACGCAAATGGTAGATTATCGTTTCAATACTAAGCTAAGATTGGGATTTCTTAGAACTAAGATACCTCAAGTTAGATTTTGGTTAAGTAGTTGGCTTGTGCGCATAAAAAAACGCAATTTCTTCAGTCAAACTTCAAAGCCAAATGAAATGTATTATGCATAGTGTTGTTTCGTGTTCTCCACTCAGCCTTTGGGCTGCGTATGGACTTACAATTGCGGGACTACAAAACGAGAACACGTTCTCGTCCCGTAGCTAAAAATATCTTTCATTGACCGAACAAAAATTAGGGGCAATCTTGGAACAACACCGTATTATATTGCTTCACATGATTCTCTTGCACTTTTAGATCCTCCTGTCACTGTCAGTCTGTGTAGCTGCCAACTCCCCTTCCCTCACCAAAGTATCTTCGTTACTGATTAGTCCCTAGTTTATTTATGCAAAAAATACCCAGAGCTCAATTATCAACTTATTAAGCTTTTTTCTTACCATTTAAATATTTAGTTACCAGTTTTACTTCTTTTTAAACACTTCCGATTTGGACTGTCTTTCTTATTTTCTTATTAATACCAACTCATTTTGTTTCTGGAGAGGAGAGGATATATATATATAAATTTACATAGATTCTTGTAATTCATCATCATTCCTCTCTTCTTCCTCAAACCCCAATCCCCAACCTTATCTCTCTCCTCTTCCTCTCATGCTCACCTCATAAAGATCACATCTTTGGGGTTTTAAAGGGATTCGTAGAGATAGAGAGATAAGAGGGAGAGTGGGAAATGGAAGCTGTTCTGCAGACCAGAGGGCTTCTGTCTCTACCTTCAAAGCCCAAGCTTAAAGCTTTTTACCCACAACCCCAGGGGGGCTTAAGGCATAGGTTCAATGGTTTAAATGCTTTGAAACCCAAACCCCTTGATGCCTTTTCTCTATCTGTCAATGGTTTTCAGAAATTTCACGGCTTTGTCACCAAGCCTTCTTCATTGGTTGCCCAAAAGAACCCAACTTTCCCTATTTGCAGAGCTGAGGCTGCTGCAGCGGCTGATGGGCAACCGGTTTTTGGAGGAGAGCAGGAGTCATTGTCACCTAAGTTTTTGGGTATTGAGCTTACGACCCTTAAGAAAATAATACCTCTTGGAATGATGTTCTTTTGTATCCTGTTCAATTACACAATTCTTAGGGATACTAAGGATGTGTTGGTGGTCACAGCAAAAGGATCGAGTGCTGAGATTATTCCTTTCTTGAAAACTTGGGTGAATTTGCCTATGGCTATTGGTTTCATGCTGTTATACACAAAGTTGGCTAATGTGTTGTCAAAGCAGGCTCTTTTTTATACCGTTATTATTCCCTTTATTGCTTTCTTTGGGGCCTTTGGGTTTGTTTTCTATCCCCTTAGCAATTCTATCCACCCAACAGCTCTTGCTGACAAGCTTCTGAACATTCTTGGTCCAAGGTTCCTTGGGCCAATTGCAATTCTGAGGATCTGGAGTTTCTGCTTGTTTTATGTCATGGCCGAGCTTTGGGGTAGTGTGGTGGTCTCAGTTTTGTTTTGGGGGTTAGCTAATCAGGTAATGTTTTCCCTTTTTCTGTACAAGTGTAGTTTTTTAGTCATATGGCTGTTATGCTTTAATAATTTAATTGCTATTCTGTTTTTAGGCCAAAGATCTGGAGTATATGAAGTCCTTTGTTTATTGATATTTGATGTTATCTATGATATTCTGTTTTTGTGAAGTAGAAACGATTTAAAGCTGCTCAAAATTCTTGTGTGGTTTTATCCTGCTGTTAGATTCTAATCTTAATCACTGCAATAGAGCAGTGTGGTGGGTTGTGTAACCATATATTAACAGAGGAATTTTATTGTTTTTGCACAGTTGGAAACACTCATCAATTGCTAAGATGTGTTACTCCGCATTTAACTTTCTCATTTGTGTCCAATCTACTTATGCGTCTAGAAACTTAGAACTTATGGTGGTTTAGCAACAGGGATCAAATAGAGATACATAGGGTGGATAGGTGTGTGCAAATTTGCATTCTTTCGGTCCATGTTGAATTTGAAGGTCTATAATTTAGCTATTTAGCTGTTGAGTTGTGAATTTATGGGGGGATTTTACTGCTTCCATCTGCATCTTGATGATTGATGGCTTTATAGTGAATATTTATTCGTGATGCTATAATGGTGAGAAGTACAGATATCAGTACATGGTTCATGCTTTACATCCTTATCAATGCACATTACTATTGTTTCAAATTCTTATTACTATAGTCCCAGAATTTTTGGGGGTTATTCTTTTTAGGCATTGGAACTTGTTCCTGCCTGTTCTTCAGTGACATGTGCATAGGGCTTTGTATGCAAACAATTATCTAACGTAACTGCCTATTAACCATTTTGGATGCTTTTCGTTACAGATTACCACAGTTGAGGAGGCAAAAAAATTCTATCCTTTGTTTGGACTGGGGGCAAATGTTGCTCTTATTTTCTCTGGACGCACAGTGAAATATTTTTCTAATATGAGGAAAAGTTTGGGTCCTGGAGTTGATGGTTGGGCCATCTCCTTGAAAGGAATGATGAGCATTGTTGTTCTGATGGGGCTTGCTATATGTTCCTTGTATTGGTGGGTGAATACTAATGTTGATCTCCCAGCACGAAGTAAAAAGAAGAAGGTAATCTACTCAAACAGTCAAACTTTACCGGTGCTTATCTTAAGGACAAATCGGCAACTATACTAAACCAACTCTTACTTGCCCTGTAATTCTATAATTTTGAAATGAAAAATGCTAATGCCTTCACTTATAGAAGCCAACTGCAATTTCTTTGCACTCATCATTGACGGTTGACCTAAGAACATTTCCTGTGGATCAATGTTTTTTTGCTACATATAAAATTGTCTGTATGTGGATCAATTTGTTTGCTGTTGGTACTTACTTTAATGAGTGTAGCTTCTATATTTTTGCAGGAGAAACCTAAGATGGGAACAATGGAGAGCTTGAAGTTCTTGGTCTCTTCAAGATATATCAGGGATCTTGCTACATTGGTTGTAGCCTATGGCATTAGCATCAACCTTGTAGAGGTTACATGGAAGTCAAAGCTCAAAGCTCAGGTAAATTATTATTCTTTTTACTAATGTGCATATATACTATTGCTGACAAATTAAAAGTGATGTATATATCTTTGTCATGCAAATAGTTCCCAAGCCCAAATGAGTATTCGTCATTCATGGGTGATTTCTCAACTGCTACTGGGATTGCAACCTTCACAATGATGCTGCTAAGTCAATGGATCTTTAAAAAGTATGGTTGGGGAGTTGCAGCAAAGATAACGCCAACAGTTTTGCTTCTAACTGGAGCTGGTTTCTTCTCCCTCATTTTGTTTGGTGACCCACTAGCACCTTCTCTTGCAAAGTTTGGGATGACCCCTCTCCTGGCAGCTGTGTTTGTGGGTGCAATGCAGAACATTTTCAGTAAGAGTGCGAAATACAGCTTGTTTGATCCTTGCAAGGAAATGGCATACATTCCTTTAGATGAAGACACCAAGGTATTTCTATAACTTTGATTACTTGCTGCTAATTTGTATACCAACCTAATTAACCATTTTTTGTGCATGTCATGTTGAACTAAGTGAATGTTTGTTTGGTGGATCGGATCAGGTTAAGGGAAAGGCAGCAATTGATGTTGTGTGCAACCCATTGGGAAAGTCAGGGGGTGCTTTGATACAGCAATTCATGATTTTAAGTTTTGGTTCTCTTGCTAACTCAACTCCCTACCTCGGAGGTGTTCTATTGGTGATTGTTGTTGCATGGTTGGCGGCAGCAAGGTCGTTGGATGGGCAGTTCAGTGCGTTGAGGCAAGAAGAAGAGCTGGAGAAGGAGATGGAGCGATCAGCTGTGAAGATCCCTGTTGTGTCTCAAGATGGAAATGGTTCTCTATACCCAGGAGGAGGCGACTCGGCTAGCGCTTCCTCTGAGCCCTCCTCTCAGCGCCAGGTGTAAACAAGAAAAGGCTAGATATTATATCAACTATCAAGTGGATGGGGTATGCATGTGTTGGTGTTAGGTGTAGCCATTGACCCTCGCTCGCTGGCTGGCTGGCTGGCTAGTAGAAATAAAACATGAATACAGATGGCTTTTACTGATTAGATTTAGTAGCAATTTGTTGTGCTGGCTGGGAATCATAGTTGCAGAATTATTGTGTTTGTTGTAGTTACATACATACATACATACTGCCTCAACTCAAGATCCAAATGCAGGAGGTTGCGTTTCGATTGTTTGATCAAATTGTGCCGTGTACTCTATCTAGCCCATACGCCTGACCCAAGATAATCTGGGAAGATGGCCAGAAAAAGTCAAACAAAGTATAGACACATACATAATATGTCAATTGTAATAGACATATAATTTGTAATTTGAATATGGGTATAACTGTTGGAATTTGTGGGTTTTGATTAGTTTTAAGGTAGGGAGATTGTTGAGTTTGTCTCATATATGAATTAGGAATAAGTGTTTGTCTCATACTAGGAGTAGGAGTGAAACGGGTAGACCTATTGTATAGGGATTTGGATGCCTATAAATATATTGGTTGTATCCCTAAAGGGTTGTGTCACCACCATTACCATCACAAAGTATTGTTTCACTCCCGTGGATGTAGGCACTTTGTCGAACCACGTAAATCTTGTCTTCTTTACCCTTTACTTTCAGCCATTATTATTGTTTCTTGTTCTTGTAATCTCAACAAATTGGTATCAGAGCACTGTTGAGATGGTCCGTTCAAGTATAAAATTCAAGGTATCAAAGTTTGATGGTATAGGGAATTTTGGGTTATGGCAGTCTAGGGTAAAGGATTTGTTGGCATATCAGGGCCTTCTGAAAACCTTGAGGGCAGAAAATCCAGCAAATCTGGAAGAGGCTGATTGGAAGGAGTTGAAGAAGCAGGAAGCTATGAACATGGTTCAAGCTGATGACTCTTATTATAGTGAAGGTGATGTTCTAGCGGTAACTAGTAACAAGTTCGAACATTGTTTGGACTTGTTGGGCGTTTCTAGATGCTAGATGAGAAGGTGGTGAGGGGCGTTGTTGTGTTAGGGGCAGCGTGGATACCAGGAGGGGATATGGACCTGGTATGAGTCGGGCTTGTCATGAGTCACGGCTGGTATGAGCTGGGCTAATATGGCTTGGTGTTACGGATTGCTTGGGACGAAGCAGTTCGTGAACATGCACGGGGAAACGTTTGATGCTGCGTGGTGCGTGTTGCTGACTAGTGGTAATTGCTGGTTAGTGGAGCATTGGGCCAGGCACACGAGTTTAGTGTGACTTTGCAGGGGTGCTGTTGTGTTAGGGGCAGCGTGGATACCAGGAGGGGACATGGACTTGGTATGAGCCGGATGCAGGAGGTCAGCTAAACGGGACAGTAAGCATGAGTCCCGGCAGTATAACAGGTCGACGGCTGAGGGGCGAATGGCTTGGAACAAAGCGGTTCGTGTACATGCACTGGGTAACATTTGATGCTGCGTATGCATGTGGCTGGCTAGTTGGGATGAGCATGGTTGTTCCTACCCATGTGTATATGTGAGATAAGTTTTTTTCTCATAAGGGGCATAATTGTGAAGGTGGAGATGGTGAGATAAGTCTTTTCTCCTAAGGGACATATTTGCTAAGGTGGAGATTTGTTGAGTTATCTTTTTCTCCTAAAGGACATATTTGCGAAGGTGGAGATAGTCTTTTATCCTAAAGGGCATATATGTGAAGGTGGAGATGGTGAGATAAGTCTTTTCTCCTAAAGAGCATATTCGTCAAGGTGGAGATTTGTTGAGTTATCTTTTCTCCTAAAGAACATATTCGCCAAGGTGGAGATTGTTGAGTTTGTCTCATATATGAATTAGGAATAAGTGTTTGTCTCATACTAGGAGTAGGAGTGAAACGGGTAGACCTATTGTATAGGGATTGGATGCCTATAAATATATTGGTTGTATCCCTAAAGGGTTGTGTCACCACCATTACCATCACAAATAATAAGAGTATTGTTTCACTCCCGTAGATGTAGGCACTTTGCCGAACCACGTAAATCTTGTCTTCTTTACCCTTTACTTTCAGCCATTATTATTGTTTCTTGTTCTTGTAATCTCAACAAAGGTAAAAAAAAGATATCACATTTTTAGCAGGGCAGGGCAGTATGGTTGTGTGGCATTAAGTTGCTTGCTACAATTGGGGGTCCACTTACTTTGCAAAATTCCAAATCTGGGCAGGCAGGCAGGCAGGCACGCGAACGTAAAAATTGATACAGAAAGAAAAAAAGAGAAATCATGATTCTATTCTGCAGCCAGCTAAAAACCAACAAAACGTAATGGGACAGAGATGGAGATGGATTACTCACGTCTCGGCCCTCTCATCTATCTTTCCTTCATCAGTTCCTTCCTGCAACACACACACATATATAGTTTCATCATATCCATTCATTCTTGACCACCCACCCACCCAGGCTAGGCAGGCCACCACCTACATACTACTGCATGCATGTCGACAAATTTCTTATCTCTTTCCCGCCCTGCCCTCCATCACAGTTAACAACTAGCTGGCTACCTTAATAATCCCAAACAATTACAACCTAGCTACTACACATTTGTTTTTAATTTCATAAAAGACAAAGCTAGCTGCTATACATATATATATATATAGTCTATAGTATATGCATGCACATATTTAATTATACACTACGTACATACTACTCAGGGTTCGAGTTTTCTGATTTTTTGTTTAGCTAGTGGCGTGATATCAAAATTAATTGCATTATTATTAGCCATTTATGATTTATGAATTGAAGTATATCTTAATTTAAAGAGTATATGATATTGATGGTCTAAACTCAAAACATATATATATATATATATATATATATATATATATATATTCGGGAGAGAAGAAGACAAGCAATATTAATGCAATATTCCTTTGCTATGGAGTGAACTGTGGCATATATATATATTCTCTGTTGAATGGAGGACAAAACTCATAATAGCATGAGATGCAGAGTAACATATATAGAAAGGGACTTCCATCAATTCATTTATCTCCCATATGAGAAATAATAACTAATTTCATTTTTACATTTGTAAACATTTGATGGATTTTTTTTTTTTTTAAATGCGGTGAAATTATTATTAATTTCACTATACAAACATGAACCTTAAATATGCGGTCTTTGTTTTGAAATACCCATGATTCTTTTTTTTTTTTTTTTTTTTTTTTTCAAAAAAAAAACGCAATCTTTAACAATAAAATATGTCAACTTTTTTATAAAATCAATGAAATTATTAAATTTTAAATCTAAACCGTAAATGTTAGACATTAAGTAGTAAAAAGTGAACCACTAAATCATATAAAATAAAAAATCTCAATCATAAACTCTAAAATCAAAACTTTAAATGCATGCAATGCACTCTCACATTTTTGCAAATGTAATCTTTTAATACTAAATATGCAAAATGTAATTGATAGTGTAAAATGTTAAGGAGTAATTATTAAACTTGAAAAAGTCTAAGATTTCAAAGGACATTGTGGTCATTTTAAGGACTAGTTAACCTTCCATACTTCAATTCCTAGATAGTACAGAGTATATGTATATATATAAAGAGATAAGTGAATGAGTAGAATTAGTTGTCCGTCGAAATTAAATTAAAAGATGGAAGAATTGAAGATGGCGACGGCGTTGCCGGAATCCGGCACATTGTCAAGCTGCAAGCCGATGGGTGAATGTTGGTTTGACGACGCATGCATTCTCGACATGGACTATTTCGTGAAGACCCTGTCGGGCATCAAAGCCAAGGGTGTCCGCCCGGAGCTCATCGGCTCAATAATAACTCACTACGCTTCAAAATGGCTCCCGGAACTAACCGGCGGCGGCGGCAGCGAGGAGAGCATCGAGAAAGGCGGCCACCTAATTATTAAGTTTGAAGAGTCGTCGTCGTCGTCAGTAGCGGAAAGCGTGAGTGCATCGTGGATGAAGAAAAGGTTTTTCGTGGAGACCCTTATCGGCATTCTCCCGCCGGAGAAAGACTCCATCCCTTGTAATTTCCTGTTGAGGCTACTGCGTATCGGTAACATGGTGGGAGTGGAGGCGGCATACAGAGCGGAGCTGGAGAAACGGATTTCGTGGCAGCTGGAGCAGGCAACGCTAAGAGAGCTAATGATACCGTCGTTTAGCCACACGTGCGGAACAGTGCTGGACGTGGAGCTTGTTCTCAGGCTGGTTAAGAGATTTATTGTGAGCTTAGAAGATCAGGCGGCGGTGATGAGATGTAGTGGAAGTAGTAGTAGTGGAGCACCACCTCTAAATCTAAATCTAAATCTAATCAAGGTGGCTAAGCTTGTGGATGATTACCTTGCGGAAGCCGCGGTTGACTCCAATTTGACCATGTCTCAATTTATTGCACTTGCTGCGCCCATACCAACCCATGCTCGACCTACGGATGATGCTCTGTATCGATCAATTGATACCTACCTCAAAGTAAGGATAGCATGCTAATTTAATTTGTTGTTATTATTATTATTATCATTATGATTATGATGATTTATTTTTATTATTTAGTTCTGATTTTTTTCTCCTCTCGACCCATTAAACAGTAGTTGTGTCTATTTGTTAGTTTTAAGTTTTAAGAGTGCTTAGCTTAGTGGTCATCTAGTACTGATCAATCAGATCCATATGTAGTATGCCATGGTGCATGGTATAGTATATATATAGTTTGCCGACACACACGTACTTATAATAATGTCCGTCTGGCCTGTATGTGGGGCTTTTGGTTTAGTTATATTTGTGAGTAGATGGTCGACAATTCAAATTCAAGATTCTTATTGAAGAAAAGATTGACAAATTGAATTTTAAAAAACAGTATATATATAATGCAATTTGAAGTTTGATATTTATGCGGCTGCAGGCTCATCCAGGAGTGTCCAAGGAGGAAAGAAAGAGGGTATGCAAATTAATTGATAGCCGAAAGCTTTCAGCAGAGGCGTCCATCCACGCAGCTCAAAACGAGCGTTTGCCGGTGCGAACCGTAATCCAAGTCCTCCTGTCGGAGCAAACCAAGCTGAGCAAGCAGCTGATGCGACAGTTGGAGTGGAGCGGAGGATCCTTCATCAGTGCAAGCGCTGGCGCTAGCGGGGGGACATGTCCACGGAGCCCAAACCCCCCGGCCCCGGGGGCGCAGCAGCAGCAGCAGGATCCGCGCTGCATGTCAAAGCGGGATATGAATACAATTAACATTCAACACCTGGAAATCAAGAAGCTCAAGGAGGAGGTTCTGAGGCTGCAAACTCAGTGCATCAATATGCAGGCACAAATTGAGAAGCTACTTGAGATCAGCAGCAGGAAAAGAGGTAGTAGTAGTAGTGGTTATGGTTTCTTTAGCAGCTGGAAGAAATTTGGACAGCTTAACAAGGGGATAATAATTACTACTAGTAGTAGTAAGTTGGGATCTGAAGTTGAGGGAGAAGGCGGCGGGGGGAATATTGCCGCAATTGGCGGCGGGTTCGGGAGACAAACCCCCACGCCCATGGATACCAAGGCTAGGCTTGTACGGGGTAGGACTTCCACCAAGTGGAGGAAATCTTTGTCTTAACTCTTAATAATTACCTACCGATACATGCTGACATGCACCTCCATGCTGTGAGAAATATATATGGCTTAGGATAATATAATAATAAGAGATAAATCTGGATAACACCCTCAATACGTAAACTAGATTCACTATTCTAAAAATTTCTTATCGATCAATTCTTAGCAAAAACAAAAGAATATATACACTACAAGGAGTCAAGAACTTTTGAGATGCAATAAAAGCATAATGATCCTGTTTGGTAAATGGCTGTTAGTTGATAGCTGTTAGCTGATTATGTTAATTAGAGGGTATAATTAGTTAATAACATTAATTGTTGTAGAAAAGTGTTTGGTAAATTAGTTGTTAGCTGTTTGTTTTTTTTTTTTTTTTTTTGTTTTTTTGTTTTTTTTGTAAAAGCTAATTGAAAAAAGTTGTTTGGAGTAGCTTTTTGAATTTTAACATTTTGGAGTGGTAAAAAGCTAATTAACCAAACATTTGTATTGATATTTTAACTAAATCAAACAATTAATAGTGGTCAAATAAGTCAAAATTTACCTATAAGCCAATTTTTTACCAAACAGGGCCAATATATAATTGAATTTGGTTTTTTTTTTTCAAGATAAAAGCTTTATTAAACAACGGAAAAAGAGTCTTACAATTGACAGTCCAAAAGTGACCAGAAAACAGACTGAGCACATTTGGGCCTATAATGCTCAAAAGAATAATAAAGGGAGTGAAGAAATAAATAAAAGAGGATGCTGAAATGGAGGCGCAGAATCCCCCTATCGGCACCACCAATTTTCGCAGAATCCAACAACATAATGGATGTTTCAATGATATCAGTATGTACCTGCGTGCTACCATGTACTATTGTGCCACCATGCCGCACTATCACGAAGTTGCAATATCGCGACTCTGCACCACAATGCAACCATGTAACAGTGCCAAAAGTGACAATAATAAAATAGCTTGGCCGGCAACAGGTTAGGCCATTTTGTAAGATATCCGTTGGTTGGTTTATCAAATTAAATCACAAAAGTGACAATAATAAAATAGCTTGTTTTAAGTGTTCTGAAAGATCATAATAATGTGTCTTCTCTCTTATTCTGTGTGTTTTCAGCGATCAAGGCATGCAGCAGCCTATTTATAGGCAAACATTGAGCAGTTAACACGGTGGTTTAACAAAGATTTGAAATTGAAAATTGGAAGTTAACATTTCAATTTCAAATTATGGATAAAGCTTATCCACTTCAATCTGCCGCCATGCATGCAAACATATCCAAATTCGATTTCAAATTTCAATGTCTAAATTGACATTTGATATATTTTACGCGTACTAAGTTTTCCGACCACCTGGTGGTCGGAAATCCTAACCAGCAAGTGAAAAATAATTTTTAAAAATACATTTCGCTGCTCAATTAATTTAATACATATAATATATCATGCAATAGCAATTTTAAAGAAATAGTACTTTTATAATAACAATGTAATATTATCAAAAACTAGCAATTTTAATTGCATATTCACAATTCAAAAAGTAGTAGCTACTTAACATTTCAAAATAATGGACATAATATATGGCCGTAATAATTTGGATCAACCATATACTTGCAATTATACAAGCTCTTCATGAATAATTTATATTACTAATGATAAAAAAAAATAATCCAACACCTAATATTACATATAATTATTTATATATATTACATATAATTATTTATATACTACACAACTCTAAATAATCACATAAAATTTAGATCGACCACACGTTTTATGTCATGAATCTTATTTTATTTAAAAATTTCTAACACATGCATCGGTGCACTTAGCTTAATTAGCTTACTACTATAAATTCCAACAATACTTTAAAAAAAAAACATTTAACACACATATATTAATTTTACCCAGTATTGTATTGATATTTGCAAGTCGAGATAGAGTTCCTTGTGGTCACACTGTGTTTATAACGTTATCTTGGGTTGGCTAGAAATTGCTCATATCGGGACGGTCATTTCAATGTCTCATCTCTATATGAAGTTCCGGATAACGGAAGGTGTGTGTGTCTTAAGGGGCGATATTAGATCTGCTGGGAAATGTTATGTCCGAGCAGTACCAAATCAGGAAGTAGGAACTTTCCGGGTAAACACCATCGCAAAGAGAAAAGACGAACAGAAAAGGACTAGCTTGAGCTGCCTTTAGACGAGGCTCGACCAGATCGGGAAAGAGTTGAGTACTGAGTTGCGTGAGGCTACCATAAAAGTGTTGAGAGATAGCTCGGATATTTTCGCAAGTGGCTTGGATGATATGCTAAGAATAAGAATGATACCAAGCCAATTTCTGAAGGAATTGTTAGTAATAATATATAATTGTATTATAATATACAGTTTAGATGTTTGTGGCTGTTATTTAATTGGTCAATCTAGACTATTGTATAGGAGCTTTTAGTAGTAGCTTTCCTATAGGTTTCTGTGTTGTAATCTCTTTCCTAATTGAATGAGAATTGATTATTCTACGCTCATCTGGTATCAGAGCCAGACTAAAGGTCATGGGTTCAAATCTCAGCGCCACCCATAAGCGACTACGGTCCACGTGTTGGTTGGAACCCACCGCACACGTGAGGGGGCGTGTTGAGCATATAGCCATTAATGTGCAATCCAACCATCAGCTTAGGCTTTTAGTTGAGATGGACCACATGCTTCAATTTGGTATCAGAGCGTTAGGCTTGGTATCCTATCCTTTTTTCTCTCCCCCTTCGTACCATGTCGACAAACTCCTCTGAACGTACGGTGACAACCACTACCACCCCTACGCAAACCATCAATTCCCTGAATGCTGCGCATCACTACGTCTCGATAAAATTTAACAACCGGAACTTTCTCTTCTGGCGTACCCAGATTGTTCCTTTCTTGCGTGGGCAGGGGTTACTAGGCTTCATCGACGGTGGCTCTCCCTGTCCTCCGGCGATGATTCCCGCGGCGGCGCAACCAGGTGACTTCGGAGCCACCGCTACTGGGTCGACGGTTCCGAATTCGGCGCACACCGCCTGGATTCAACAGGATCAATCGATCATGTCTCTTCTAATCTCGTCACTCTCCGACGAGGTCATGCCGCTCGCGGTTGGCCGGGAAACTGCGCGCGAAGTATGGCTATCCATCAACGAGACTCTGGCGTCGTCCACGAGAGCCGGTGTCTCAGCTTGCTCGGCCAGTTCAAGACTCTCCGGCAAGGCAACAGTTCGGCCTCGGAGTATCTCGGGAAGGCAAAGATGCTTGTCGAGGCGTTTTCTCGCACCGACCATCCTCTCTCCCTCGACGAACAGGTCCTGTATGTGCTATGGGGTTTCCGACTGGAGTTCCGGGCATTGGCCAGTGCCCTCACGGTGACCGAAACTCCATTCACCCTCTCCCAGCTTTGTATATTGCTTTCCGCTGAATCTTCCACTGCGTCCAGTAAAAGTGCTTTGTATATTTGTTTGTTCCTATGCAATTAGACTGAGTTCCATTTGAAACAAATAATGTTTAACATGAATGTTTTTTCCCGAATATTAAGTGCATATCTTGTTTTCGTACTCATTCCTTGTCTGATAATGCACTAGAATGTTTTGGAAAGATGAAAGGTCATATCGCATTTGCTTTTCTTCAGATATCGTTTTCTAGGATCCTGCCACTTATAGTTAACGATGTTGATGGTCGACGACGGCGGATCTATTTGATTATTTTCCTATTTGTTTGATTGTTGCGACCTGCAGGACATCTGATTCTTTCGCGCGCCCCCTTTGCAACTATGGATGCACTTATGGACATTTTCAATTCCCGGCGTAACAGGTTAGCTCTGCAAGCTCAAAATGCCACACTTGAAGACGAACTATCTGATCTAAAGAAGGAGAATGTAGCATTGAAGGCTTTGGTCCATCTCATAGATTCCCAGTACCGTGCTGTGGTTGGGAATGCAACTGTGCGTGTGGCTGAGCTTGACGCGGCGCATGTAGAAATTGAAGGACTGACTGCTCTGATGGCAGACGTAAAAGCAGATTTGGGGCTGATGGCACAATCCCTTCGACGCCTTTGAAGTGAATCTGTGGCGCTGGTTTTGTTTACTTTCATGTCACTTTTGGGCCGTTTTGTTTGGGCTTGTAGATTGACTGATGCTTTGTTAGGTTGTGCTACATTGGATTGCCTAGAGTAAAGATAATTGGATTGCCTATTGCCTAGAGTTGATTTGTAAACACCATCGCAAAGAGAAAAGACGAACAGAAAAGGACCAGCTTGAGCTGCCTTTAGACGAGGCTCGACCAGATCGGGAAAGAGTTGAGTACTGAGTTGCGTGAGGCTACCATAAAAGTGTTGAGAGATCGCTCGGATATTTTCGCAAGTGGCTTGGAGGATATGCAAGGAATTGTTAGTAATAATATATAATTGTGTTATAATATATAGTTTAGATGTTTGTGGCTGTTATTTAATTGGTTAATCTAGACTATTGTATAGGAGCTTTTAGTGGCAGCTTTCCTATAGGTCTCTGTGTTGTAATCTCTTTCCTGATTGAATGAGAATTGATTATTCTACGCTCATCTGGTATCAGAGCCAGACTAAAGACCATGGGTTCAAATCTCAGCGCCACCCATAAGCGACTACGGTCCAGGTGTTGCTTGGAACCCACCGCACACGTGAGGGAGCGTGTTGAGCATATAGCCATTAATGTGCAATCCAACTATCAACTTAGGCTTTTAGTTGAGATGGACCACATGCTTCAATTTGGTATCAGAGCGTTAGGCTTGGTATCCTATCCTTTTTTCTCTCCCCCTCCGTACCATGTCGACAAACTCCTCTGAACGTACGGTGACAACCACCACCACCCCTACGCAAACCATCAATTCCCTGAATGCTGCGCATCACTGCGTCTCGATAAAATTAAACAACCGGAACTTTCTCTTCTGACGTACCTAGATTGTTCATTTCTTGCGTGGGCAGGGGTTACTAGGCTTCATCGACGGCGGCTCTCCCTGTCCTCCGGCGATGATTCCCATGGCGGCGCAACCAGGTGACTCCGGAGCCA